CTCCCTAGATCTGTCCTTAGATAGTTTAACCAGTCAGTCAAGTAAAAAACGTCCTGCTAAAAGGTATGAGTACAACTTAATGATGATTTAACCATTAGCTGATTATTTAGGAACTCGAAAAAATCCAAGGTTTGCTTATTAGTGTCAGTAATGGCCAAGTTTTAGATTACCGACTGTTCACCGCTTTCCACTACCGAGGATGTGAAAGCCTACGAAGATAGAGTGTGGAACGAGTTTCTAAAGTCCGATAGTACCGAGAAATCTGTAAGCACAGTTTTCCACGAATAACACATTAAAGAATAGCACTGAAAAAGTAAATGTTGTAAAAAAGTATCAGTTTGCTGGGGAGGAAGTTGAGTAAGTTCATGAGAATATCTCATATATAGTATTTCACTTTTTCAATGTTTTCCCGTATGTACGTTTATTGACGGGTGACTAATAATGTTCATTCCACCATGTTAACAGAGTCGTGTCTAAAGTTTGAAGTTACCTTTAAAGCGTAGCGTATTATAGGCCTGTGAAGCAGTGGCCTATTAAGTATTAGAAGCTAAGTTTTTTAGTTCCTTTCCCCATTACTCATTAAAATGAACTTTACGACGAATGCTATATAGCATATGCTGTTTATTAGTAAGTTGTCTAAACATTTTCCAAAAACATGGACATACGAAGTCACTTGCTTGTGTGATGTTAAGTCTTTCGGAGGCACAAATCGTAGATTACATTCTTACTGGTCGACAATTTGCTTCCATCGTACTTTCAGTTATATGTGGTCAGTAGTGCCAAAAGTTAACAAAGCTTATCATGTCTCGATCTGGTCTGATTATTATGATTTCTTGTATTCATGATGTTTTAAGCCAAGTCTGTGAAAATCAGCAACATCCAGATACGTAGTGCATTGTGCTAGACTTCAATCATTCCTAAGTAGCGTTTCTTGATTAGGTATACATCACTGAGGCTAGACACTCGTTTAAATCACCAGCCTGTTCATACAGTGACTAAGATTGTCAAACGATAGCTGTTGGATACTACTAGTACTATGAGAAAGTAGATACATTACACTGTAGTTTTATTAGTTGTTCATAATAGCTTATGCTACTGACTACCAATTTACTGAGTTTGTAATGAAAATATTGTTGAAATTTGATTCCACGTTGATAGTAGATACAGACTACTTGGTTGGGGTCCGCGTGACTATCATAACCAATGGTTGGAGACTATGTGACATGGATCGGAATCGATCACAATGGCGTAGGTGTATACACTCTTTGTCTTTGAACTATGAAATTAAAATCGCGTCATATTTTTCTTCCTACGAACTAATTCTTCCTGTACTATGTCTTTATATGCAATCTTTCTTTTATATACTACCACCACCACTGATTTAACTGGTTCTATGAACTCGGTGTTCATCTTGTGCTAATGAGGCGTGGCAACTTGAACCGACGCACACGTGTCTGGTCCTACGTTGTAGCTGACTGATCGTACGCATTGCAGACTTTGTTTTATTATTGATCAATACATATGCAATAGTCTCCATGAGTGACGAATGACGTTTTTCTGATGCGGGTGTTCAATTTTCAGGTTCAAAATATTAGTAGAATCTCACCTTCCCATCTATGATCTTTAGAAAACTGTTATCTCGTTCTGTCATTGCACTTACCCCTACATAAGCTGGAAGTACTGCTTGCGCGTTTGAACCAAGTAATCAATGCTAGTGTTACGTGTAGCATAATGTGCATATATGACAAATCCGTTGACTAAATGTTAAGACTGCGTCTACTGAAGCGGGATCCACCCTGTAAATTCCACCTGATTTTGATTCTCAGTAGTATCTCGTTTTTACTCCTTGAGTATATCCCTTTTTGACCGTGTTGTTTAATGCCTTCCCCACCACTACCGATGTACCTTCGTGTCAAACCCTACGCCCATTACAGTCGACTGATTTTGTGGTGCATATTACGAGTATAGACTGTTACTTATCGTTGCGACACAAACAGGCTTTTAACACAAGCCATCTATTCTTAATTGTCTTGTTGATTACAACATTTTGGGATCTCCATCGTGTTATAATAGTTATTGGAGAATACGCTAAGCTGTGATTACCTCCGGACTTTATCCTTGTTACATGATGATCCTGAGTTTAAACATCGGGAGTTTCGTATATTCAAAGCATTTGCTTCGTTTCCGAATCACTAAAAACCAGTGTTACCATGTAAACTATCAATCACCTACCTAACTATATTTGTATGTAAACCGTATGACTGTTATCTATAAAAACAACTTTCTTATTTTCAGAGTCATTCAGGCTGTTTCAAACTCGAATCGAACTAAAGGTTTGGGTGTCTCACATAATAAGACTTCAACTGAGACAAATCCCCTGAAACCAAAGTAAGTTCTATCCAAAACTGTTATTCGGTTGAGAATACAGTCAACAGTTGTACAGATTAATAGTAATAACTTTGTAACAAGTGTATAGTTATTTCAAACAGCATCATAAAGTGCTCCGTCGTTTCTTTTGGTGAACGTCGTATCATAACCTATACCAGTAGCACTGCATATAACTCCAAACTGATCTCAACTTAATAGATGAGCAAAACTATGTTTACAATGAAACACTGCGTATCCACTTCTGTTTATTTCATATACACGTACCTTACGTCCTGCACTACTTGAATTTTCATACGCCTAAATAGCATCTGCATTTTTGTGTTGCAACCAGTGGATTATGATATACATATATGAGCATAATAATTAATGGAGAGAAATATGATTCAACTCAAGGGAAATTATCAGAGCTATTTTGTCGTGAAACGTTGAAAGCCGTCAGTCAGCAGTTGTAGTAAAAAAGGCATTATCTTCTGCCTTTTATGCTACACAGAAAATACAAAGCAGGTAATTAACACCAAGGCTAAGCTACTCCCATAGGGTGACAGTGATTTCCTCCCACCAGTTATTTCTTCTTTAGAACTAAGAGTGAGCAATAAAGTCCGTTCAGGCTTCCAGCAGTTAGTTTTTCCTGATAAACTCAGTACGTCCTCGTGCACTTTAATTAGGCTAGTGACTAAGTTTCTCACTAATATGTGTGACAGCTGCAAAATTAGTAGTATTTGTTCTAATTTTGCTGGTATATTAGCCATAAGAGTAACTGTTGTAAGCCGTATCTTTTCTGCTAACATTTTCACACCACAAAAAGCATTCAGACAAAACAAATTATATTTCCCTTATGTTGAACCAAATTAATCTGCTTATTATATGCATCAATTTACAAATCATTTTAATATAGAGCACCGTCTTTGGGACTCGGTCTAACTAACGCTCTGCAGAACTTGAAATCCACGATAAACAGCCTACCCAAGTTATCTACCTTAGTAAGTTCCGGATTTCTTCGTGATGTTTTGTTACGTTACATTAGTATTATTTACTGGAAATTATATATTCTCACAAAACACTAAGTAGGGTTTTAGAGTTACGAGTTTTTAGCGCTTTTTTGCAATAGTTCCACACAGTTACAAAACTTCTTTTGTCAAGTGGTGGCTCTGCTTTACTTAGTTTAGGCAGCTCGTTAGTATAACTAGACCTCACATATAGAATGTGGCTGAAAGCCAAGTTCTCTAATCTGTACCTGGTAAATCGGTTAATAAGCCAGACCTCACTCTCGATAAGGCTTAGAAGCTACTAAATGAATATGTGGTTAGATTGTACTATAGTGTAATAAAACTATCATAATCATGAAGTCCGTGAAAAAAACTAGGCACGTGGTTATCTTTTTCTGTTTCTTATCTTAAAATACATGAGCTGTAACCAACGAATGTAGAGACGTTTATTTTACTGAAATTATAGGAAAAGTCGCGTCTTGACTGGAAGCAATATGTACAGAAAGAATCTTTGGAAGATGACCTTAAAGCCCACAACAAAGGGAAAGAAGGGTAAGATTGCAATGATATGTACTCATATATACGATTTACAAATAGTCAGTAAGGTGATAATTTTGTTGTGTAACAAGAGTTTTGAGTTTTTCCTTACTGTATACCAACTGTATTGAAGAAAAGAGTAGTCTCAGTACCCTTGGCGACCAAATGAAGAAATACAACCCATGCCTATTACACTAGTACTGATTGCTTGGTTTTAGGTTATACACATTTACACCACTTGGTCGAGTAAGTCTGGATGATGGTCAGTTGCCTCCTAAAGAAAAGCAGTTTTCAAAATGAACATGTCTTAAGCCAATCTCATAGACGCGAGACATAGACAAGTGTCATGGAACATAGGTAGAAACTCGTCAGAGACCAAGTACTTTATCAGTAATGTGCTGCCTTCGGGTAAGAGTGCAAGTTTATCAACGCATAAATGCTATTCCATTGCAGTAGTGAGAGAATCGCTTTGCATTTGCAGATACTAGTCACCAACTAAACTGACTCGACAACATTAATTCACGTCTAAGTCCAAAGGTTGACACATCGACGCTACCTGCTTAGTTTTGAAGTTTCCACTCCAGAAACAAAAGCACCCATCGTCAACAAGTAGTATATAATGTCGCCGCTAATCATAATTAACTTAATACACTCCAATCATAAATAACAATTTTGATTTCATAGTGTCTCGATAATTTTGTCGTTTTACTCCGATGCACCACTAGTTAAAATATCTGGTTGTTAATGAGGTCTGTAATCGTAGATTTTTTTGTAAGCTAAGTTAACTTACTGGGTTTTTTATTTTAAAATAGGTATCTGGAAAGGCAAGCATTTTTCAATAGAGCAAATGAACGTGAATATCAGTATGAACGACAATTGAGAAAGTCAGCATCGAGTCGGAAAACCTGAATACAACTATGCACACAATTCTCTTATCCACGGAATGTTGCAATTATTTATCAAGAATGGCACCCCAATGTTTGTGCCCATGCAGTCCCAAATTTCAGTGTATTTATGTGAAGCAAATAATTGTGGTTAATTATGCTGGCAATAAAAAATCCCAATAATAATAAGTCATTCTTTTTGTTTACTACGACTTTATTACTTTCTATTCGGACATATGGATCTACCCAAGCTTTTCAAAAGTATAGTGATTTTCTTTGTCCACTGCATGTGGATATTGCTTCGCTTTCTGTAAAAAGAAGAGAAAAAATTAGCAACCGTTTTTGGACAACCGGCTATAGTTTACCTAAATGTTCATTTACTGAACAATGTTGAAATATGTACTATGCTTTAGATAAGCGATTTTGTCCAGTCAGCTAGTTGCTGAACGACTTTCGTACGGTGTGATTTCGAAACGACCTACTTTATTCAAAGTTATACCTTATATGTATAACCCACCATATATGTGACGCTTTCGGGGTCACTTATACATGCACATGATGGCCGTTACGATGTACAAATCTGCTGATATAGCTGCCAATTGGTATGTTTTTCTTGCCTAACTTTGACGCAACGAATTTAGTGGTCTTGTCACATGGAAAAGTGCTTCGAAAAAATATGCAGTCGAATGTCGATGACCTTTGTCCACTTATAATGATTAGATCTCATGACAGAAGTGAACTGTTGGGTTCGCGAACTGTTTGCCTTTGTACACCATGTAGACATCAAACAACTAGAAACATTACGCTTCTCAAACTGACTGCTCAGTATATAGTATTGGAGCGGCCCAAATCTGCTAGTTAAACTCAAAACTACAGCTCCATGGTCCTACTACTTAGCTGTCTCAGCTTTTTTACCGCATTATAAGTCGGTAGGCAAATTCATGATGGTTGGTATTCAAAGTGTAGCTATAAGTTCGCCTGGAAGTTGCTGAAGATTTCCTGTCATCTATTATTTAAGAAATTAAAGCCTGGAGTTGTTATGGAATTTTAAGTTCCTAGTCTTACTTTTCGGATGATCCTGTAAATATTATAACTAACTCGATTATAAAACGAAAAGTGACGTTCAAATTTATAGTACTTACCATCGGGAGAAAGAAGCAATACATTTGACCGAGATATAAGAACATCCAAAGGCCAAAGAACGGTGCAAACGTCTTGAACAGTATATACCACCTTAGTTACAAATGAAATCTATGAACCACAGCTTACATTGGCTGTCCTTTTAAAATTTCATTTAGTTTTGTAGGATTATATCCGGAAGCAAGATACATTTGCGCGTTGAACTGTTGCGGGTCATTAAAATCTCGTCTTTCACGTGGGAAGTCATAGGGTTCCCATGGGCTGCGATTATTCGCGTTATACGGTTCTACGTAGAAGTAGTCTCCTGGTGCCAAACCATCGTTCTCAAATGGTTTATAATCAGAAGGTAAGAGATTGTAACGTTTGGCAGCCGCTTCTCGTTCGGCCTTTGTGCAGGGATACGGTTTCGGTTTCCACTCAATGTGATAATCTGCATAAATTATCAATTTACAAATGACAATAACAATGAATGGATATATTGTGTGTGAAGAAGTGGACGGCTAAACACCAAATAGTGCTAAATTGTTCTAAGGAATATTTACCCTCGCTGCAAACTAACCGCGTGGGAAGTACATTACACAACCGACTGATAAAATGGCTTCTAATCAGTGATGGGTTTGGTTGGAGATGTTTGAATTTGCTACCTTTGTTAATCGATGACACCTTTTAGTCGTTTTTAGGGAAATACATGTAGGCGAGGTGATTAACAGAGGATAGAATTTCATATATGGAAAGAATAGTGTCGCAGCAAGTGAGAGCAACCAATTACTCAAAAATAACTCACATTTCATACGGAATGTCGTTTCGCGACTGTAATAGAGTATAAGTAGAATTATATTTTATGTTACACAGTTACGATGGTTTTTCGGAGTATCTAATTATGCATCATGTTGCGTGTAGAAGACGTGAAATGGTCAGACTAGCTAGAAATATCAGAAGTGGTTTAGGAACAATCGGTTGAGATATACGTCTCCAGAATCAATAAAATATGGATCCCTTGGTATTTGGTTTTGATGAGGAATTATCACACTAACATTACCATACAGCCAGTATTATGAGTGGCAAAATAGTTCACACAACTTGCTAGGACAAATCGGGAGACTGTCTCATCAGAAAAGTGGCATCGTTAAAACCAATTATGACTGTATAAATAGATAGTGACTCCACTAACCAATGGGAAGCATCACTATGTAATCGTCTCGTCAGAGCCTGACGCAATATCTACATTCGTCAAAGCGTTTTGGGAGTCCCCAAAGGTCCGTATGTATTCCAGAATCGTATCACCCAGAGGACAGATATCTATGAGTAGTACACTTAACAGCGACAATATAACCAAGATCGAAGATTCTGATCAGATTTAGATTCAGGGAACTATTGTATAAACCAACTGATCATCCAATATGACACACTCAGACCACTAGAAAATCTCTCCATACCATGATATTTGCATGGAAATGACAATACAATTGTTTTTAGAACTAGCGAGATGAGAGCGTTTTTTAAGACTATGTATAACTGAAACGCACGTGCTTACGCTTTAACACACTTTTGCATATCGAACTACTAAACACAACACTGTATTGAAAAGACAAATATTTTATAATCCGTTGTAGGTTGCCAGATATCTCAACTAGGCTATTCATTCGTCTAGCATTCATAACGAACCCAATCTCCCTAATTCTTAGGAAGATGTCCGTTCTGGGTAAATTTAGAGGAAGCTACTATAAGAAAACTTTGTAGGAATGGCAAAAAAACCCTAAAATATCCGCAGATCTGAGGAAAATACCCAATATGCTTGAGGAAATTTAGAGCCTTCCGACATATTTCCACAGAATCTTATAACACTTTGGGATTTTCCACCAAACATCAAGGAAAACTACCAAGTGCCATACGACTTTAGGGAAAACCCTAAATGGGAAGATTTGGCAAATCAAGACCACAGTTCCCACTTCGAAATTTCTTCTTAGACTACAAGAGTGCAGTATTTATTTGAGAATTAAACAAGGCCGATATGTATGTAGTGCTGTATTGACTGGAGCGACAATATTTGGATGGTGTTTACTATACAGCAACCCATCTCAATAATGCTAGTAGATGTAAAGTTAAATTACTGGTGTTAAATAGTTTTATTTAGAGATATATCGTAGTAACGTTCATAAGTAAACCTACATGCCATACCCCGACACAGAGGAGTCAGGATTGAACTGCATGTCTTAACGACAAGAAGTCTCATAAGTGTAGCGAACTTTTAGAAAAGCCAAGTCGGTTACATTGTCCAATCACATATCATTAGTATTAGTGTTTACAAACCGATAAATTTCTTTCTGCTCGCCTCTTATTGTTTCAGCACAGTTTCAGTTCTTTGGTAAATTTCCAATAGGTGGCGGACTAGTCACTCGACTGAACTAATTCTAGCCCACTTGTCAGTTATTTGTTGGTGTGTATATCTTGCAATGTGGTTGAGGACGTTTTTCTGAGTACAGTAAAGTTTCTGTATACCATGAGCTATCGCTTTATTAGCTAAGAGGTGATTCGATTGTAATGTGAAAAACAATAATGTGAAAATTCAATTGTCTCAAGAAATAAATAAAGAAGCTGATTAATTGGTAATTCAGACATCCTGGAAGAATTAAAGCCTAAGATACGAACAAAACATAAATGTTAGTGAAGGGGCCACAAATATTCAGTATTTGACAACGCCCTAACCAGTACCACCTTTTATAATCGCAATATGCCAACCCACACAAATCGGAAGTCAGAAAGGAAGGGGTTTTGAGATATAATTGAAGAGCTATCCGTACGTCGAGAAATGTTTGGTTTAAGCTGTTTAATGGTTGCGAAGGATGTGTAGCACGGCGTACGTACCCTTGATCTGGTATGGATGCGTGAAAGATCGCCTTTAGCTGGGTTGGGCCCAGTAAAATTATTGATGTCTATGTCAACTTCGAGAACTTACGGGACTATATGTTCTGAAAATTTACACACTTTTTAAATGATAAACAAGGTCGGAAGTAATTAATTATATATTTTATTACCAATCCATAGGTTCAGAGGAGTATATCAGCTGCAGCTAGTTCAATAGGGAGTTTCTCGTCCATTAGGGAATACTTGTTTTTCACGTCTCCTCTTGAAGATATCCACTATGTGGGACTTATTCACTTCGGCCGGTAGGGCTTCTCAAATGTGGTGAACGACTAATGGGAAACAGTAAGAGTTTACATAGGTTTTTGCTCCATGATTATCGAGTTTGCAGTGGTTGACTAGTTAGACGTGGTCGTGATGTTCTCGTGGGATGCTTGTGACGGATTTAAAATGGTGTGCTTTGAAAATTTCGTGCTGTTATTAGATTGCCAAACTTCCAACAGAAAAGTGAAAACTATTCGAAGTTTCGAAGTCTATCGTCACCCATTTCGGCTGAGAGATTATGTCACGTTTCAGTTGGGGAATTCAACAACGTTGTGGTTCTTGCAGCTCGCGAACACCCTGTGTATCTTCGAATGAATCAGTTAATCTCCACTTAATTTAGAGGCCAGGTCAGATAAACACATCCTCATAACCTCTACTATCAGGAATATGTGCAGTAATCTTTTGAGCGCTCTTCAAGAGCCATGAGAGGCTAAACGTACGAGCATCTTTTAGTAACGTCAGATTTCCAGCTGTCCCATTTTAAAACGTCAAGTAGCTGTCTTTTATGGATCCAGCTCATGCTCCATAAAGTAAGTCGTTTCGTTCATGCGTTCCCTCGTTCGGTTGTCGAACAGTCCTTACATTGCCTAATTCGGTATTTAAGGTATTTTAACTGGCCTGTGGTAGGTTAGGTCCTTCTTATTTCTTGCTATAGAGATTGAAGTAGGTCACCTGTTTCCATTTCCTTAGTTGTCCGAATTTCGCCGAGTTCCAGAACATGTCACGTGCTAGCTTAGTGATTGCTTTCGTGCAGTTGCACATGGTGTTTGCAAGCTTCATTCGAACTACAACTTACCAACTCAGACTTTTTATAGTCCACCACACTCACTGGCTCTTAAGTCCTTTTGCTAACTCTCCAGCGACATCTACGGCTTACGGTTTGAAGCGTCTAGTTTTGATGCTCTGAACCGTTTACCCTACGATATATTAAAGTCAACATGATTTCTTATGTCACATGTGGTGTATCTGAATACATCCTCAATAAAACAGATTTATTTTTCACTACATTATGGTACATGATTCGTCATTTTAATTCCAACGCAACAGGAACGTTTAGTTGTTGTTTCTTGGGTTACCTGAAAGACTTCTGAGGCCTGCTTTGCTTGATCGAACATGTTTTGAAGTCTTCCTTGTACAGTATAACTTCATCAAAACGAGTGATACAATTGGACTGATATGGCAGGAAGTCCAGACACTTTGCAACACCCTTCCCTCGACGGCAATATACTAGTCACCTAATATATGTAACGAGCGAACTGTGTATATTTGGTCTGAAATCAGAGAGTGGTCTAGCGATAAAATGTGTATTTAATCAATCAAATCCCTATGTCATTCTCCATAGTGTGCAATATTTCTGAAATTCGCTAGCGTTCGGTGACCATATTGCAACACAAATTTTATGCAGTACCATTGTGAAAGCAGATCATAAGAAAAACTACTTTAACTATGCTATTCACCTACTATACAGTCATATGTAATTCTGGTACAAGATAACGCGTTAAAATGCAAAAGTTACTAAATATTGTTGAGTACCTGCAAACTAACATTGATATTCTCGATATAACAGTGTCAATCTATCCCTTGAAAGAAACCTATCAAACAACAAACTTTTCTAACAGACATTCAGCGAGAAACTGTGATCAATTGCTCCACGCCATAACCCTGATTTCAGGTGAAAAAGACGATTTCTTCAGTAGTTCGGCACCATATTACAATAAAGGGAATTTGATAGAGTAAAACCATTTCCGTAGATTCTGTACTAACGATACAAGCTTTACCCGAATAATGTAAATTGGGGATTACGCAACAAACCCCGTATCATGCGAACTCGATTGCCTTAGTACAGGAGTTGTGGAAATCATATTTCGGCATTCGTTATTGGTCGCGTTAAGCCTATCTGTTACGGCAAGTGCCACAATATTATGGGTTTCAAGATGATTGCAAGCGTCAGTTCAAATATGGAGCAAGGGGTAAGTGTATAATTAGCAATCTCACCTTACTCTGGGGATAATGTGATTAACCGTGGACATCCGGTGCCTTGAAAGTGTCTAGTATCCAGCGTTTCTGGTATAAAATAATCAAGATAGTGCTCTCTTTATGTGATGAACAAGGAAAGACTACAGATAGCGTGAACCATCTTATATACTTTGGAGATGCAGAAGAATATAGCTCGGCATTTCCTCAAGGTAAACCCTGGAAAATTACTCTTCTTCCGTCCCCGTATTGAGCATAAGAGAGCCGCCTTCATTATATTCAAATTTCGAGACTCAGGGACAATGTAAATAAGTGAATCAAAGACACAAAACATACTTATCACTGTTCATCTGTAACTCTGCTTCGAGGACAAAAGAAGTGAGACTATTACGTGGGCTATTGGTCGCAGAGTATGCAGTAGCTAAGTTAGTAACGTTATAGTTTTAAAATTCGACAAAAATAACACTCAAGTGTAAGACATATATACTAACTGAATTATTTTTGCGAATCACTCATAGATATTTGAAACATTTCAAGTAATTACCAGATAACATATTAAAACCTCTGATGCAACTTTATGAGACTATCTCGGATGAAACTTTAGCAAAATTATATATTTTAATCGTCTGTCCGGTCTCAAGCAGGTTTGAATGCATTAACATTCAGTATTCCTATATCTGTATCTGGGTTGGTGAACTCTAATTCCTATTTGTAGTTTTCCAGTTACTATGGGTTCCTCAATGTACTATGTAGTATATTTTTCCACATCGGATTTAGTAGACCGAACAAAGCAGGAGGTAGTTACATGAAGAATTATAAAACTCCGCAGACTAACAGATTTAGAATGTATAGCTTGTAGAGTTTTGAATATTAATAAAACTAAGGTATTTGACTGTTTTATGGGGAATGATGGACACATCCTCTGGAGAAAGGTGAATTACAAGCAAACTGTCCTCATTATGTACACTTATGATTGCATAGCTTCCTTTTTATTGAAACAAGTAATGCCAATTTTAATGTTATAGTGATCAATGGTTCATTTTCCTCTATTTTTAAATGTGTTAAATTTATATATCCGGGTGGGCATTTTTGACAAGTTCATAGATTTACCATTATTTGTTTCTGAAAAGTCTTTGAACCGATGTTTTCGTGTTATATGTTGAAAAAGTGACCAACTACTACGTTGTTAATCTGTTTTTGATTTATTAGTGATACATCAACAGCTAATATTGATGTTACACAAGACGGCTCCTACAGATTGAAATACAATAAGTATCAATATTTATTAAAGTTGAATTTTAAAGCGCAAGCTTTCTTTCATGATGTGATTTTCCACCGCATAATGTTTTTCCAGACAAGAAATATAGAGACAAACCGTATACAAAAATATCATATAAAGATTATTTAAGTATATTTTATTAAATAGATAAAATGACTGATAATAAGATAGTTCGTTCTGAAATTAAAATCATCGCCTCCCATATATATGATAAAGCATAACGTAAACACATCATTTAATTCTCTGACCAACCAACAGTCCAAGTAAAAATACACCAATAACTGTTAGACCAAACGATATTTTTTGTGATGAATTCAATGGACACTGATTTTCCTTTTGAAATAAACATAAATTGAAAACATACAATTATAGATACAAATAAAAGAAACAAAAGGAATAATAATAGTGCTATCAACAGTTTACCAGCTATAGTCCTTTATCTCATGATCATCGTTGCAACAATTGAATAGTTATGGATAAGTTTGTGCTTATATTACTCGAATAAAATGGTGAGGTTGTAAAAAGTGATATTTCAAGTAAATGTTTATTATGATAACTGGATATGAAGTTGAATTGGAGAAGATAACGCGTATTATACAAAGTTATAAAAAAATTTTTATTTATGTACCTGCACTGAAAATACATTTGAGGAAGATGCTGTCGACTAAAACACTAATATATATACATACGTTAGACAGCATGTGAACTTTGCAATTATTTTTTGAAGACTGTTTACTCAATTTCCGATTGTAGGAGAAAACTCGATAGTCTAATATGGCAACAGAGATTGAAAACAACTACTGAAAATAAATGATAAGCAACCAAATTTTTCTGTACCAAAAGAAGTGACCCCATTACTTTATACAAGTTTCAAAACATATAAATCACTACTTCATTTCCCATGGTAGTTACCAATTCATATGTGAGTGGCAACACATAAAAACAAAGAACAATTGAAATGTAAATTTGATGATAATAAGAAATGATTTTAAACTCATTTGACAGCACAATTCCAAATCAGTAATGGGATAGGTGAATTGTGCAAATTCATATCAAAGTAAAGTGTTGAAGTGGCTATTTGAAACAAAGGTAGATTAGATTTTTTATGTCATTAGGCTATACTTTTCTCTATAGAAGCTCTAGCCCTCAGAAGATTTCAACCTCTCTTACATCATTAAAATCATCAGTGATGCGAAAACTAACCATTCCTGTCATACATTAATTATTTGATCTTCTTTTAGTTTTCCTACTAAAATATAGTTAGTGGGCGTAGACAAATAAACATTCAGCATGCTAAATGCTCTGATACTAATCAATATCATGAGTTTCTTACTATTATTGTTCTCTACTCTGACTTCACTGTGTATGTAAACTTTCAGTATTTGTGTTATATAAACCATTCATTAATTATTCCCACAGAGACATGTACGATATAAGTTGAGTGAGAAAATACTACTTTTTCAGTTATTTCTTTTACATGACCCTACACTAATATTAAAAAGTTTTAGTATTAAATATTATTTCAATGGTTGAGATCATGAGTCAGTTGAAGCTAGACCACCATGGAAAACCTGGAAGCACTGGAAGGCCGTTTAGTCTTATTGTGGGACTCATCAGCAGTGCGCATTCACGATCTCGCCCCTCCTGAGAGATTCGAACCCAGGACCTATCAGTCTCACACGCGAGTGCTTAACCACTAGACACTGAGCCGGCACATAAAACCAATTAGTTTTGACAATTAACAGGTTATGAAATTTCATATTTTTTGTGTTATAAAACTGGTTACTGTATTGTTAAGTTAATTCATCATCGTCTATTGGTATTGATTTTCGATTTCATTGTAAAACTTATACAATATCAGTGTAATTCTTTAATACGTAATTATTTGAGCGGAAATACATTAATGTCTGGTCTATTAGATAGCCATCATCAGTGAATGTATCAATCAATTATTAGACATATGTAATGATTAAATTTATACGGATTTTTCATTATTGAAAAATTTTAAAAAAGAAATTAAATATACCACTTATGAATAGTTACTTAGTTTATAGACACATATCGTAACAGCTATAGCAACAAATTAAAAATGACTCGAAATGCCAGTTACTATCGAGTATCATGGCATAGAACAAAATGAACGATAAATATATTTATGATAGGCTTTAGACTTTCGGGTAAATAAACTCTTAAAATAAAATACGAGTAATGGATTATTAGAAAATAGAATCAACTTTTTTAACTACACATACAATAATGTTCTTATCAGGAGGGGTTTAGTGGAAATTTTAGCAATTAGCTGAAGTTAGACATTAACACCGTTGAATGACGGCCGGCTCAGTGGGCTAATGGTTAAGCGGTCGCGCGCGAGACTGATAGGTCCTGGGTACGAATCCCGCGGGGGGCGGGATCGTGGATGCGCACTGTTGAGGAGCCCCATACTAGGACGAAACGGTCGTCCAGCGCTTCCAGGTTTTTCATGATGGTCTAGCTTCAAATGACTCATGATTTCAACTATGGAAACAATAGTTTTACTAAATGATGCAAAATAATGAATAGAGAGAGGGAAAAATAAATGAACACATTAAACAGAATTTCATTTACTTTAATTTTCTTCTCATCTTCATGTTGATCAGTACAGATATGGTCCAATAAATCGAAAAGTGTATTCTGTGATTCACTTATTGATTTATTCGATATCCAGTTTAAACTTCGTTTAACTGATTCATGCCAACCGTATAATTTAACGGCGCGATCATTTGAATTAATTTTTGAATAAAATGTTGACTGATATTCATCTGGTTTATTAGTCGAATATTCTCGAATTTTTAATAATCCAGTTGGATTAATATCCAGTGCTAATGCCACAGTAATTGCCGCACCTAATGCAGTCATAACATCAGAATGATTATGACGTCGAACAGTTACATCTATTCAATGAAAAATAAAATAAATAGAGCAGATAAGTAAACAGTATGAAATAAACAATTACGTACTAAATATTGTATCAATAGTATTAAGTTGATCAGTTAACCGATTATTTTTATATATGAAATGTAACACAAGTTTTGCTAGCCGGTAAAATCCATGAAAATCAAATGTATACTTCAAATAAGGAGAGATTGTTTAGGTTTAGGTTGAACTTAATCGGTTAGTTAGTTTAATGAAGTTACTATACTGTCTGTAATTATTATAAAAGTGTATGATAACTACATATCAATTTACACAGCAACAGAATTTTAGTCAATCAAAAAATTTCCAAACTAGTACTCTTCCCTTATTATGATGATATTCACTACTAACTTGAGAATAACCACGAGAAATAGAAAAACGAAACAATAATACAAATACATTTTGAAACCTTGCAGTCTACAACACTAATTGCCTTCAGTGTAGACTGACACTAAAAACTACAGTTCACTGAAGAATAGTTTCATCACCAGAAGGATCCCTCACGATATCCACAAACCTGCTCTATTCATATTTTGTAACTCTCACAATAAGTATAGATTTACGAATAATAATTATTATTTAAACAGATTCCTTGTTTTTCTACCACCAGTATATCACTGTTCACAAATTACAGCAAAATTGTTTCTTCAGAAATGTAAACAACTAGAATCATAGTGAAACGTCTGAAATTTGAAAGTTGGATTCGGAGCTTTCAACTATCATACGGAGTTCAATAATGTTAATAAACAACCTTATTATTTTGATAAGCCTTGAAATTAATCCTTTGATTTTCTTTTCAGTATATTATTCTGTTTTTCTACTGTTTCCTGTTCAAGCTTAATGTTTCCTGTAGAATTAGAAAACAGTTGTTTGTATTTGAATTAGTTTTTACAAAAATGAACAGTACAATAATATATTTCGTTCGTTATCCTAATATCAATCGGATTTAATATTGTAGTTGAATTACAGTTATTTACCATAAGTGGATACATTCTAATATTTAAGGTCACGTTCACGCTTTTTCCGTTGGTTGTATCTTGTAAACAGGAAAAGTTGACTAATATTGTAGTGAACAGAACACGGATGGAGACAATCAAATATACTTAACATAAAATTACAGGAATTGTTAATAAAATCTAACAACCATAAAGTAAATGCTTAATTTGCAAAATGTCCTTCAATTGTCTCAAAATGACTCAGAATTCATCGTTCTTGCATTTCCATATAAATCGCATTCTGTTCCGATTATTTACTGTTCGATCCTCTTGTCTCTCTGCTGCCAGACCTTCTGATCACGACTGACATCATATACTACTTATGTCAATATAAGTAGCACACACCACAATATTAGCTATCCAAACAATTACCAAAGCATTTTACACTTCAACGTAATCCACGTGAACGATTAGAGAATGTTACTTTCTCGACAGACATCTACAAATAGTATACTCACATTTTAGCTTAACCATATATGTATTTTACTTTTTACTGGAGTTTAGGATTAAAAATAACTAACTTTAAAATTAATTATTCTCCTGAATCCTGTCTCTGATAAATGATTTATTCATGCACTTTAATTCTGTAGCTTTTATTTGTATGTTTATTGCCAATTGAAATATTCTATAAGGCTAAATGATTGATTACTTGAATAAGTCGGGGTACATTGTAAAGGTTGTGAGATAAGTTCTTTTTATTGTATTTGACGATGATTATGCGAGTTGCTGATTAACTGTGATGAACAACTAATAGGGCAAATATTTTCCTAGCACGTTTATATGCAAGAGTAACAGTTTCAAAGTCAGTGAAATGACTCTTTCTAGCCGTGTTTCTTGGAGTAACTAGATAATATTTTATCCTAGCAAGAAATATATGTAACGCTCTGTGCTGAATTTCAAATAACAATTGTAAACATTATATATATATATATATATATATATATATATATATATAATTGCTGCTAAATTCTTGTTTTATGATATTCTGATTCAGTAAACCTATACAAATACCAATTTTGAGGCTGTATAGCGTTGAAATAAAGTGATGTATCAACTTATTACCGGCATGCTGGGTGAAATAATAATAATAATAATAAAATTGGTCAAACCTACTCAAAATGTCAGCTAAACTTTGCATAAGAATGTCACTATTGGACATTCCACCATCAACAATAATTTCATTTGGTTTTTTTAATGCCATTAATGGAACTATTGAATTGCATTTATTATTAGCTTTAGCTAAAGTAGCCACAAAGAGAACATCATATGTTTGATAAACAGATGATCTTAAGCCAGCATAAACAAGATCAGATTTATCAACATTCGCTGTGATTCCACAAATGACACAACGTGCACTTTCTTGCCACCATGGACAGAAAAGACCACTAAATGCTGGGACTAAATAGCATGGATCTGGTTCATTAAATCTTTGTTTTCTGTATACTGAAGCAGACAATTTCTCACATTCCGCATCATCTTTAAACACGTCCAGTTTTGTCTTTAACCATCTCATTGTAGCCCCAGAAAATGATATAGCACCCTAATCAAGTAGGAAAAAACGTCAAAACTTTCACTCACTCAACATTAGTCGTGAAAGCGATAATAAAGAAAACGGATTTCCTATTCATGGTATACGTTTTAAAAAGCATTTTCGATCAATGAAGTTCCCCATGATTAAAATTAATGATGTAAAAATGAGAGTATTGCATTAAGCTCTGCTCTGATAGGTTTAAAAAGAACGTTGATTATTTCAATCATCACATCATTTTAAAGTTCTCTAAAGTAAGTATTACTGAAAGTATTCAATGAAACAGACAACATAAAATCTCACTGAATCTACACTCTTGATGCTTTAAGCAGTGTGGTTTATGTGAAGGAATAAATTTAAGGAGCGTTCATTGGAGCAGATTTAATGTTACTTAACATTTGTAAGCAATACTAAAGTTGAAATATAGTACTTAAAGTAAACGAGTTATGCTTAACACTGAATGAATCCTCATTCGAAACCAGTCAACGCACTAGGCACTTAATCACTATGAGACTATAGCGACTCACGTGCAATTGAGTTTAGTTCAGTCAAGGTCTTTTGTTGACCTATTTAATGGACAAAGTCATCCATGATATAACAACTTGTTGTACTATCATTATTATTATGCTTGTATGAAATACATATACTTGAACATTGTTTAGCGCCTACGCATGTATTCATTCTGCTAGCTTCATTATTAACTGCTTAGTCTATTCGCTGACTCATCCATTTTCCTATACATATATATATGTGTACATTTGCACCCATTCACTACTACTACTACAACTACTTGCTACTGCTACAATCGTAGTTCGCTTGCTCATTCATTTTGCCTCTCTGCTGTCTGGTCCGAATTATCTACTAAATAAACTGTAGTAGCTGCTTCTTTTTGCCTTCTGACTTCAAACATCGTTGAAGATTATACGATAACGGTTCGAGGGTGATTAATTATCGAAGCACAGCCACTACAAGACTATCATTAACTGTTCTAAAATTTAATCTTATACTTTATTGAGTCGAATAGTTTAATTGAAAAGTTGTCATTATCACTAGGGATAATATCAGAACAAAAGTGAATAAGTTCCATTGTTGTCACAGAATAAAAATCAAAGCTTTATAATCAAACAATTAAGTTAGGAGAATACAATTCCATTAAATGTACAAACATGAACAACAAATTATTATGACTTTTAGTAATTCCAATTTTTTAATACATCTCAACTGAAGTGCCATGAAAATTAGAATACAACTTTCGACAATCCAATGAGAAGACGAAGTTTATCAGAATTATGTGATATATTAGCGTAATACATTTCGAACAATCTGATCACATATATACTTGTTAATCAATAACGATTTGAGATTATTACTCATCGATATATATTGAATGATAGTTAAACTATATAACAGAATGATTGTAATCGATAAATGAAATGTCTGTATTCCCACACAGTAACCTGATCATAACTTTACTCGTAGTGATGTCAAAAAATCTCTGGGTTCGATTGTGTTTGTGATTGTCAGTATGCAATTCTAAAACGTTCTGAAATCTAGATGAAATAGTTGCTTATAACTCACTTATTTTCAACAGTTATTTAGGTGATTCTAATTCATGATGAAAATGGTTAGCATTTACTATGATCAGGCAAGTTATTGAGTAATGTTGATTCCTTCCTACAAACCACAATGGATAGAACATCAAGGACTACTTATCTATAACAAACTTCAATGACTTGTATTTAGTTTAATAAAAATAATAAAAGAACGTATCCAGTTGAAATTATCCGAGAACCTGATAGTTGTTCAGAATCATTTCAAAACAAACATCATTACTAGTAAACAGCGACCAGTTATATCCAAAAAAAAAATAAGTGAAACAATAAATTTTAGTACGATGTAAGTATTTAGTTTTTTACTAATAATATTGTCATACCCCTAAACTCATTTCATCAGTTGATTTCAATTCGAGAAACTTGATATGACATTTGTGAAAATAATTTTAGTTTCTTAAAAACTCACTTCAAGCCCATAATATATGGGTCAAAAAAAGAAAAGAAGACATTTATACAACATGTTCTTATCAATAAAGCGCATAAATGTTACAGCAGAATTGCTTGTTGTGTAGTAAGTGATTACCGATAACATAATTCTTGAAATTATTCATACCATTTAGTATGTATGCTATAGCACCAGAGACAAGCAACCTTACTTTCAACTGTATTTAATTTATATCTTGTATACAACACAAAAACAACTGAATTTTCGTAAATATATATATATATATATATATATATATATATATATATATATATATATATATAGCTCTACAATGAAAACCTTTACAGAAAGATTTCAGATTCAGATTTGATTTATACCAATAATTATGAAAACAGTATTATTCAAGTGTCAGTGGAAATGAAAAAAAAACACTTGTTGTATTTATTATTCGGAGTTATCACAATGTAGAATTTTTTTACTGTTATCTATTTAGTAAAAATAGTGAGATGAATAAGAGGTGATTTCTTGTTGACAATATAATTTTCTGAGATGTGATGAAAAATCAACGGTGTTCAGATAACCATTAACCGTCAGATTAACAGAAAAAGAATCCTAGGAATTCAACTCATAATGATACTTTTAGTTATTTAGACTGCACTAGACAACATGATCGATTGAGATAGTTAAAAGTTCGGGTTTCTATGTTGTATATGATCGAGGGTACACAATGCTTGTGTGTAGTAGCCAATAAAACAGATGTCTAGTTCTCCATGTTTTCCATTGATTCTCTAAATGATTTGAATTTCGGATGACAATTAACTTCACACTTTGCAAAATACACAAATTGCAAACAACCATCATGTGTTTGTTTGTAGGTGTTACAATTGTGACTACAAACAATCATGTAATAAAATAAGCAAAAATCCTAAAAGTACATTTATTTCAACAAAAATGGTTGTAATTTGGTCATTCATTTAATCTCGGATCAAGATGGATGAGATACACTGAATTTATACTTATACTATCCAACAGAAAACAACTTTCTAACGAATTATCACTTACCAAAAAATGTTTCTAATGTCCTTTGTTCTACAAAATAACGAAATTAGTAAAATTAAAGTAACCATAACTACCTATCATTTTATTGTAAACCTACCTCTAAAGCATAATATGGTCTTCCCTTTGAACCCATTTTATAAGCTATTGTGGTTAGAACACCTTTATCTGAAAAATAGGGTTGACAACCAATATTCCATAGCATAAATGCTCCAGTTCCATACGTTACTTTAACCCTGGATATATCTGGTAAATTATTTTCATCTACAGAACTGGACAGTTCCCATGTTTGTGCAACAAGTGATGCTTGTTGATCACCTAATATCCCATAAATAGGAACGCCTTTCATTAAACATTTTGAATCTTGAATAACACCGATTAATTCAGATGATGTTACTATTTTCGGAAGTGTACGTGGATTAATATGAAAAAATCTGTAATTAAATGAATAAAATAAATGTAAGTGTAATCATTTTCCAAGTAACGTAAGGAATTTTGTAAAAACTACTGAATTTTACATATTTAAAATAGGAATCGATTTTAGGAAACGATCAGGAACCAGGAAGCATCTGATAGTCATTTCGTCCCAGTATAGAGCTTTTCATCGGTGTGTATCCATGACCCTACCATGAATTGAATGCTGGACCTTCGATCTCACAGTGAGCCTTAAATCTGTAGACCACTGAGCCAATATCCAATAATGTACTTTTCTAAATTCAATTGATTTGAAACTATCTTCGATTGCCTATTGTGGACAGCTATCTTACGACGGACATGGCTGAAATCATCTAGTGATAAACTTTGCATTAGAACTTAAGAAATTGCCAGTTCAGTTATCTAGAATTTAAAAGCTCACCGAGAAACCAAAGGTCCTAGATTTAAATCCCAGTGGGAGTTATGGATGGACACCGATGAGAAGCTCTATACCGGGAGGAAATGAATATCCAATGCTTCCTGGTTTCAAATAGTTTCCTAAGATAAATCGTTAATTTGAATATGAAAAAAATCTAACAATCATAAACGGTCATATGTTGGTTTAATGCGCTAGGAATTATATATACAGTGTAAAATTCTTAGAATACGATACTACATAAGTCTTTAAGCCTAAGCACATACATGAGTATAGCAGCAACCTATAAAACCTAGTTTAAATCAAGTTTTCTAAAAAACACATATAATCACAATTATATTGCCTGTCGATGTGAAATCTAGGTACAAAACAGTGAGTTATTAAATGTTAAGAAAACTTGTAGCGTGGAGTCAAGTCGAGATTGACCACTAAAAAGGAACGCGTGCCAGGATATCCATAAAATCCCCCGGAAGCCAAATATCAGAAGGCAGTTTATGGACCAAGTCGAGATATATTTGCTGGCGATCTCGTGGTATCGAAAGAATACCGAGATCGTGCCAGGATACAAGCTTGGTTACTGAGCGTAACCGGATTCGCGCGAGGTCACAATCGAAGTGTGTATAATGGATGTTTTTAGCACAGTTAAACAAAGAGCACATTAAACAGTCACTGGTACAATTGGTTATAATAATAGTTTTCATTAAACCAATCGTGTTCTCGTGATAAAAATAAGTCACTACAAACTAATAATCTATTAATTATTTTAAAAGTGAACTGATTTGTGCAAGTATATAATTCGTCAGATAATTATGTATGAATAATATGAACATTGAATAAGTATTATTCGCTAAAATAAATCTGAGTATGTAATTAGTAAATTACTTGACATTAGGACCTAAGACCTCGAGTTCGAACGCTTCTCTACCATAGTACTCAATATCATAAGAATAATTTTTAGCTTAATATTCCAAATGAGTGTTTACATTATGAACAGTAAAAAGTGTTTTACGCTTACTGGCATAGATCATGATCCCACTCTAATGTATTCAGATTAAATAGTAGTGTACGGCTTGCATTCGTCACATCAGTAACATGGCACATCTGACCAGTTAGCTTCCATATCAGCCATGAATCAACTGTGCCAAATAATAATTTATTTTCTTCATCTGCTTTAACCACTGACTTTACATTATTTAGTAACCAATTCATTTTTAAAGCTGAGAAATAACTATGTATCGGTAAACCTGTAATATGCTAGAGAAGGAAATGAAAAAGTATACATGTATTTCTATAGATTTTCAAATTAAATTATTATCATTATAAAACAGGCAGATTGTGGTTGACTCCGGAATCCAAGATTCGCGTTTTGATTAACGTGAGACTCATCAGTTAGATGTACTACAATCTCATTGCTGACATTCACACTGATAACAGTTTTGAGTTCAAATGTGGACATCAACACTGTACTCATTTACCTTCTAGTTTGATTATCAATTTACAGTTTGGAGAATCTTTCAAGGAAAATGAAACACATAAGTGCTACAATCATGACGATATCTTTGTTTTGAAGGCAAATATATTTTGAAACCATTTAAAGTAACCAATAAACGAGATATATCAACTATTAAAAAAATGAAGTTAAATAAAATCAGGATTTGTTCTTTTAATGGCAAAATCCATTATTTCTAGTGTTACAGAAAATAATACGCGATTATAACCAAAGTTATTATTATTATGGGCTTTATTCAATATTGTTTTGGTACAGTATAGAATTTTCAGCACAAAGTATTTAAACAAGTTTCTTTTTCTTATTTCTTGATTGACCCTGACGATAAATATTAAGTGATCGCCAGTTAGATGTTAGTAATTTAGGAATAGACATGTGAATATATATTACCAACCAGCACAATCTCTAATTGTACTTTTTGTAACTTGTACAGCGAAAGGTCGTAAAGTTTCCATAAATACGTTTGGATAGGTTATACAATTATGACATAATAATGTGTGAAAACAAACAAAAGCAAATAACTTATTGAATTATCTAAATGGCAGGAACAGGTAGCCCAAATATTTAAGCAGGCTGCCAATCATAATGATATACTTTTGAAATTCTACCTTTCATCAATATCCCACAGTAAGGATATTAACAAAATAATAGTTTATAATTTATCAGAAGTGGTTTTGTGGAGATTGTAGTCTCGCGCGCGAGACTAATAGGTTCTGGGATCGTGGATACATGTATGAGTATCAGAAGGATGTTTGTGGATATTATGGTAATTTCAATGGTTGAGATCATGAGTCAATTGAATCTAGACCCCCATGGAAAATGTGGAAGCGAAAGGGGATCGTGAATGTGCACTGCCACTGACGAGTCCCACAATGGAACGAAACGACCGTCCAATGCTTCAAGGTTTCCCATGGTGGTCTAGCTTCAATTGACTCATGATCTCAACTATTGAAGTTTATAATGTGTTTTAAAATATTATATTTATTTACTGACATACATATAATTGATTTTAAAAACAAGTTAATCAGTTAATCTTTAAATGAAATAAATAAATCTGAAATATAACTATATAAACCTTTTACAGATATAAGTTTACAATTACAACGGTTTAATGAGTTCAAGTCATATAGTGAACCTACAATTGTTATGTAAAAAAACAACAGAATATTAAGTAATCAAAAAAGTATGTTTATTGTGATAATTCGAGTAATCAAGTTGATACAAGTTACAATTTCTATAAATCTACCATGATGTCATAAAATCACTGTTAACTTAAACATACTACTTATCTTTATTTCTATTGTTAATTAAACAGAATATTTTACGAAGAAATTTTTCAATGATATATATTTTAGAAATTCCATATGATGAACTGTCTTTGCTTACTTAATCAATAAAAAACAGGAAGCATTGGACAGCCATTTCGTCTCACTAAGAAATGTTTCAACAGTGATCATTTACAATATTCCTTGATTCGGTTTGATTAATAAAACAACTTTAACTATATTGGTTAGTCATTTATTGAATGATCTGTGAGAATAATAGATTACTTACATGTTTTTAGAATAAAGACTTTTGGTGTTTATGCAAGTAATTATATAACCTCAATAAAAGTAAATCAAGTTTATTTTACGTCTCTGATATTCTCAAAAAGTTAATTTACACATGAATTTCAGTTTTTATGAGTATTCTTGATAATTTTATATGGTTTTCTCGTCACCAAAGATTAAAAGATGCAATAGTTGGTTAATTTGATTATTTTTAGGGTAAATATCTGATAAAAACCAAAACCTCTGACGTTTTACTACCTTACTTATTTCTAATTTTCAACTACTGAATTAACTGTTTTTACTTTCGTTTGACACAGAAAATATGTGAACTATTTCAGAGTAGCATTTTGAGAAAAAAAGACACCGGTTTGTTGGGGCTTGAAAATTTCTATTCGATATCACGTAATATATCGCTAGTCTGACTATTGCCCAAGTTCACGAGTTTTACACACTGACGATAGCCTTAACGTCTAATTGCTCCTCGAGCTCATTTATAACCTAGCAGTTAATCAGAAGACGGCGATAGGAAACGGACTAGCCCTTTATTGTACTCAATTTTGATCATGATTAAAAAGTAACACAATAATATACTGAAAATACCTGATCACACAACACATCAATATATGAGATTACACTTTAAGCCCAATCATATCATTAGTGGTAGACGGTAGAACAAACAGTTCTTATTCAATTAGCAATAATTAAGAGATAGTTAAATGTATAACAATAGTTAATCTACCCACTGGAAGTTTACAATAAGGGAGATATAGGAACAGAATGACATATCTAATAATTATGTAATGAATATATAAATAATAATCAGGAAAATAGCACCAAGAATTTAAACTTTCTCAATATTCGTTATGTTACAACATTCAGGTACTTGATTTTAGGCTAAACTTTTCCATTAAGTACTGCGGTTTAGTTTGCTATCACTACTTCAGTTGTTTGTTTACTTCTTATCAATGGAGTACCTTGTTATGGAATAATTTATTCAGGATCACTGAAATCAATACAGTTAAGGTTTAAACTAGAAGGAACTATAAATGCCCTTAAATCTTGATTCAAAAAATGTAAAAAAACCCATGGTAATCCAATATTTATTCAAACAACAAGCCTCACATTAACAAACGATGAATATTAATATATAATCTCCGAAGATGAAGGCTTTTTGTCTTAGAAAAATCCATAAAATAAATCCTGCAATAATTTAAAAGAAAACGTAGAACAAACATATTCAGTTAGAATCTAGTTTAATCTGTAGCGTGCAAAAGAGATCGTGATAATCCAAATAAAAATTTGAGATATCAACCCACAGACACGTTATAATTACGGATATTTAAGATGGATTAAGCTTCAAAGCAAAGGTCGGAGGTCATTTAAATAATTACTCAAGCCGAAGAACTAAATGTAAGGTCATAAATGGAAACACTAACGATTAGTCCAGTAGCAACATGTATTAAATGGATTGAAGGAGGTAAAAAGCCCAGCTCTGTAAGTTTTATCAAATAAACCAAAGTGTAATAATTTATTTTCCACTAAACTTTCATTAGGAAATACAAGTAAAATTGTTTACAGTCCACGTTCATAAGTATTGATGCTAGAAATCATGTATTTTATGAATCCACACTTACTATATTCGTCACGATTTCATTTAAACATAATAAGTAGGTTTATATAGTGAAGTCTTCGATGAGGACAACTAATATACAACACGGTAACGAAAAACTAAAACTGTTGATACTAATACCGAAGAGTTCTAAAAAAATAAACAAATGAAATACAATGATGATGTGTGACAAAGTGTCATTATTTTACAATAACTATTCAGGTACATCCAGCTGACGAGTCCCATATAGGACAAGACGTGCGTCCTGAATTCCACAGTTAGCCACCGTCAATCTCCAAAATCTTTATGATTTAATGGCAATATCGAAGCAATCCACACAGGACTGCCATATATACCACAAAAGACTGACGGATTACAATCCTAAGACGAAGCGAATTATGAAAGGTCACTGATTAATTTGTTTATTTTATTCTCGATTCGTCATTTACTTCGTGATAAGTAATTCATAGATTCATTCATAAATAAATGTTCTAATTCTTTAGTACATTTTCAATCAATCAGTCAGTGATTTTATCTCATATGTTCATCAAAATCTGATGTTAGTTTATCAACCATTAATACTGTACATTCATTATATAATGGTTTAGAAAGTTTACATGAATGTTATAGAAAAAAAGTTTGATTTAGAAGCAAAAGTCCAGAATCATTCAAACAAGAGCTTATCGATCGTTTAAAAAAACAAACTGATCAATGTATTAGTAGTCTAATAGATAAATTTACCTGTTCAACTAAATGGATATTTAAAGTAGATCTCTTTTAGAATATCAATATGGAAGTATAAGTGTATTTATAACTGACGAGTTACGAACAGGATGAAGGTTGTTCCTCGAATTTCACCACCAGTCGATACGTAAAACGAATTATTTAAAACAAATCAAATTGTAAAGTATGTTTCACTTTTATTTATCTACCTGAAAAGCATTCGATTTATTACCAGGCGCCATTTGTGTAAATTTTATAACATCATCAGCAGTTCTTGCATCAGACCACACAATAGCTGGAGCTAATGGTTCCCCTGTTTCACTATTCCATGCAATTGTTGTTTCACGTTGATTTGTAATCCCAACACCAATAATATCCTGAAAATTGAGGATAGAAACGATTTGTTGCCTTAGTAATTGTTTTATAAAGTTTCTCCGTGTTGTAATTTATTGATTTAAATACGTAGGAAGAGATTTATAAATAACTCTTTGAAATATAATTAACCAAACATTCTAGAAATTATTTTTCTGTAATACAAAAGTGGCCTGAAATTTTTTTAACGAAAATGTTGATCTGTCCCGAAACTTGAATAACCTATAAGGGCTCGATATAGGGCTAGCCGCTACAACCGTACAATGACTGTGTTATTTTTCTTTGAAAATAATAATAATACAGATTTAATATACCCGAGCTCCCAATTTCGGGGAAAATTTGACCCGTTTTGGGGAAGCCGCCATAGTAAACTTTGGGGAAATGGCACCGAAACCCCAAATTTTCCCCAGCTCCGGAGAAATCCTCCAATATTTCCCCAAAATTCCCCTTTAACCTTGGTGAAGGTCAATTGACTTTGCGGATTTCCTCAAACTTGGAAGACTGGGATGTCATCATAATATAGCTGAAACTATTCTTTTGATATATTTTATTTCCATTCATTTGTTAAATAATATATTTAAATGTCAATATCCATTCTTTCTTAATTTATTCCAAAGTGTATCTCATCAAATCTAATGTGTACGTTGTTTTATAATGTTTATCAGACTATATAGTAACGTATAATAAAACAAAATACATTTATTAAAGTGAATCAATTAATTTCCACTAATTGTTAGAGAGAATTTATGTACCATATTATTATCATTTTGCTAAAAGACTACACATTAACATTGAATAAAGAACCTATAAATATTAGTGAATGATGAACATATATAAATAATACCAAGTAGGTGAAAATATATAACCAATAAAATATGATTATTTGTTTCTATGATTTGAGTTTTTACTATTCTTTTGTAAAAAACAAAACGTTATGATAGATTTTATAGGCAGTAACAACTGTTGAATATAAGCATCATAGTAATTACTATGAAAAACATCACCCATAGTGTATAATAATAAGTATTATTATTGTTATTATTTGACTAGCTCAGTTAGTTAATTTCTGTTTTGTAATATGGTTTACTGATGTGAGCAGAGAAACAAGAATCCTTGACAAACTACGGAAGCTATTATTGGGGACATTATTTCACTTAATTCAAAGCTTGTAAAACAGTAATATTTATTTTTGTCCCTAGTCTATTCTACACATCATGAGCTTTCGTTTGATGTATGATTCACTGCCACATCCCTTGTTGCTCCAAAGCCATTGTAATTTAGACGTATTATTTTGTATTATATTTTCTACACTAATCCCCAGCTTTGGACATAACTGTATTTTTTAATTATTGTACGTTGTGGTCGTGTTAGTCATCTTATTTATTCATGTATCTTTTTACACCGGGAACCAGATCGGAATTGAGAATAAATCGAGTAGTGTTCCAGTTGTTTTGTCTTCTCTCACTCCCATGCTTGTCGGCCAATCAGAGTGATAGAATAGTTTTCTTCTCTCTACCCCACTTCGAACTCACGCGTACTAGCCTCAAGGTTAAGCCGGTCAGCCTATCGCGTCAATGTCTTAATCTAGATTAGACAAGTTGGCCTCAGCACCAAAAGTGGGTAGACAGATCACGGACGTAACATTTACTATTCAAAATCCACAAATCTACTACTAGACCAATTCATTAGAAAATCAGAAATTATAAAAATTTGATTAAAGATAACATCTTAAGGATATAATTATTATTGCTTAGTATTTTATAATATACCTGTTCAAATGTACGGAGAAATCATTTTAATAGCTTTGATTTCGCTAATATTTACACTTCCTAATATATGGGTCTATGAAGACTGTTGAATTTCGTAGCATTTATGTCCCGGATTAACTTCGATGAAACTAAAAAATTCAATGACTTCCACAACCTCTTAAACTAAAGATTTATCTGTTGCTTACTAATAACTAACTTTGGAAAGTAACCTAAGAAATTCTAGTGAAAGCCCGTAACCAGTGGAGTTTAACGATTTTAAGTGTTTGGCAAGTTTGGGAAGTTAGTTTGCGATGAAAAAAGTACAGAAATCTAAACTTTTGTTGACTTACATATGCATTATGTGTGTACAACTTTGTGTGATTTTTTAATGGCTCAACAATCTATCTCAAATATGTGTTTTCAACTTTGAGTACAATTTTGATCTTTATGGGCCAGTTTACTGTCAAATGGTCTAAATCGAATAGATCTCTTATTTTCTGTATATTAACTACTGAGTACATGCGAATTCCCTACAGGGTATTCAGATAAACTGAGATTGCTGTAACTTGTTTAACAATTTATCGCCAGATAAAATAATTAAAATATTACACTATAAAATATTTCTACGTTAAATTTATGTCGTAAACGTATGCATACATATATATAGATAGCTCCTAGTAACCGTTAAGAGATAAGCGATTTCTTAAAATACAAGCCAGAAATGAAGCGCCAGTTCCTACTTTGGCTTCAAATCAGTCTATTTTAAGGGTTGATAGTATTACTCGACCGAAGATACATAAGTAGACTGTAAGTGTTTGAAAGCTAAAACTCAAATATTGAAGAATGAATACATAAATCACCAAGCACTCACTCCACAAAAAATCAATGAAAATCATTGTAGAACAGAAATCTCCAGATTATGTACACAGTAAGTTGCTTTAAGATTTATACTGACCAACACTAACGCAAGGTTAATTTCTTAACGTTCAAATCAGTAATCGTGGCTCTTGTGTCAGCCAAATCGATAGTTAGGAAGCTACACAGCAATGACATTAAATGTTGGACTCGCTACATCATATATTGGAAACAAGTATGTAGTTTTGAAGAGGAATTTATTCTCGATGGTTTCATGATAAAGAGAATGAGAATAGACTCCACTCTCTTTCTCAATTTCGACCATACACACCTGGCGATCAACCAAAATGAAGCGGGAAATATTATCTGGACTATCATAATCAATGATGGACGCCGTGATTCGTTCACGATCATTTTTGCTCGATTACATCAATATAGTTTACCATTTTTAGAATATTAAAGAGTTCTATAAGCTTTCGTTTATCAACATCACACAAACACAAAATACAGATTATAGTACTAGATATCTGAAACGCATCAGTCAATTTCGGCCAGTCAGTCAGTCAGTCATACCCCATGTATGGCTAATTAGCCGATAAAAAAATGTATAATACATATAGGTACACGCAGAAATGAAATTTATTACAGAAATAAAACATATGGTTAGATAAAACGGCACAATCAATCAGTTTTTTGAACTAATAAATTACCACAATATCGATTTTTCTCTGTAGACTTTTTATAAATTTTGTTCAGAGAATATGAGAAAAAGGAGTATAAGAAAGCAGGGTAGTTATTCCTTAATGAACTAAATTACATACTTTTAATAAGTAAGTTCAGTGCATTCTATCATAGTCCCAATTGTGAGCTTTCATTTGACTTACTAAGCGATTATTCAGTGTTATGGTGAGTTTGCCTTATATATCTGACAAATCACAATTCATATTGTTATAATCTGGTATTTATACTGTATAATCACGTGATTTATGTGTCAAATAATAATAAAACATAATTGTAACCACACATTTTATTTTCTACTGTTCATGAAAGTGGAAATCTGGATGAACTGCTGATCGTACTTCAAAAAATGGAACAAGCGTAATTAGTAAATTTATTCTTTGTCCTATAGGAATCATAATAACATGTGATTGAAATGTCTGATTTAAAAGTCTAAAAATAACATCCTATTTCATTAACATAAATAAGGCACCCAATAATAAGACATTTTCATCATGTAATTTTTTAAGCATTCACTAGTATTATCCTGTATTCATTATAGAGAGAATATATTAATTAATAACCATTATCTATCGCGTGTTTAGTCATCGCTATTTTATATCTCAGACCAACATTGAACACCTGGTTTTCAATGTTGTTCTAACTTAGAACGGTTCATGATTTCGAATAAATTTTTTACGTGGTGAATATATTGATGGTTTGAGGATGTCGACAGAAAAACAAAGTTTCCAGTTTTTACTTTGCATAATTACTTACTAAGTCTGTTACCCCTCATGGATGAGCATAGGCAGCTCACCAGTATTCTCCATACGTCCAACCGTTACAGCTACCTTGAAGTGATGGTCGGAATTCCTTTTCGTGATGAACCAATTGAACTATACTATCTGGAACAACCGCTCCTCAAGGTCCTACCATGCCAGACAGGTCGGTTGAAGAACGGTAAGACTAAAAGCAGCAAACCCATGGTCCGACGGCGAAGTCGTACTGCTGACTGTACGGAGATGTAACAGCACTTAGATATTTCACTCGGACAACCAGTATGACAGCAATGCTACCTTGCTACAAAGAGATAGTGAGGTTAACAAAGTTCGACACTAAAAATGCACACCTCACCTTATCCCACGAATTTCCGTATCCGGCGGTTAGGTCCCAACAAGTACGGAGCTAACACGAAAATTACTCACCAAAAGGTCGTGTGTGACCGGCTTCAATCAGTTGTCCCTTAAACACTGCGGTCACGCTCTCTGGTCACTCAGTCCAGCTCTAACCCAATTTCCTTTCCAGGTGCCTCTGGGAGAACCTTCCCACGGTGTGGGTAACTGGGAAGTGATAACCGCCCTCATACTTCTAACAGCACTCACGACCACTGTATTCACAATCAACCTCCATCTTCAATTCCTGTTATTCCTCCTACATCGACTTCCAACTCTAAACTTCCTCTTTTGGCTTCCTCCTCAAGTGTCACCATAGCCAACGATTCTAGTGCTCAAAACACTTTCCCAGGTCTACTGAAACGTCGCTCCACACTACACATTGGAGTCTTCAACTTACGTATCCTATGTCAAATCAGTCTTCAGGCCTCCTTGGCTAAAACCCTCGAATCTCGTACCATCGATGTATGCTGTGTCTCCAGAATACGCAAACAGGATCCTAGTGTGGTTATTCACTTGACCTCACCTCAGCAAAACGGAGAGCCGACGAGATACACCCTCTGTATATCTTGCGACCCGATGGCTAGTTCTCGTGGACTGGCGGGTGTAGGCATAGCATTAAGTACGAGGGCAGAACAAGCACTATTAGAATGGATCCCCGTCAACAGTCGTCTATGTGCTGTTCATCTAAATGGCTCCTTAAGGACTAGGAAGGATAGGGACACAAGTCGTTGACTTTTCGTCGTTTCTGCCTACGCCCCAACTGACCGCAGCCCGGATGAAATGAAAGATAACTTTTGCAGAAAGCTTTCTGAACTTTTTCATAAAGCTAAACACTCAGACATGGTACTCGTAGGGGGTGACTTTAATGTCCAGATAGGTAGCTTAAACAAATCAGAAAGACATTTAGGTGGGTATTCTAGTATTCTAGCTCAACGAAAAGATAATGGTGACCTCCTGTTAAAATTGCGCTCAGACAATCATTTATTTCTAACAAGCACTAATTTTAAGCATAAGGAGAGATATCGTCTAGCATGAAGACGCTGCATCAAATCAACGATGGACTCAAATAGACCATATTGCATCCGACAATGATAGTTTTACTTGACTCAATAGCAGTATTTGACTCAGTAGATCGAGAGGTCCTGTGGCAGTGTGTGCCATTGATAGGCGTACCTCAGAAGTACACAAACCTTGGTGGGACTCTTAAATCGAACACTACTAGTCGAGTCAGAGCTTACGGCGAACTGTCATCTGATTTCGCAACATCAAGTAGTGTCCTGCAAGCCTGTCCACTATCTCCATTTTTGGTCAACTTCATCATAGACATAGTGATGAAAATAACGTTCTCGTTAATCGAATTTTCGGGCGTTGATCTGATATCAGGTGACCCACTTATTGAATTAGAATGCGCTGGTAACATAGTCCAGTTCGGTGAAGACGCTGATAAAATGCGGAGTCTTTTCGTAGCACTGAGCAACAATGCCAGGATGTTTGGGATGCGTTTCTTCACCTCTAAATGCAAGTTGTTGCTTCAGGACTGGCCTGCGTCAACACCTGAACTAAGGATAGGGAGTGAAGTAGTCGAACGCCTCAACAACTTCACTTATCTCGGAAGTCTGATAAACCCTCATGGGTTAGTGTCTGACGAAACCTCTGTACGGATTCAGAAAGCCTGTTTAACTCTTGCCAACTTATGTCATCTATGGAGAAGGCGAGATATCCGTCTATCAATTAAAGGACGAGTATACTACGCGGCAGTTCGTTCCGTTCTACTTTACGGCTGTGAAACATGGCCATCAAGAGTAGAAGATACTCGTAAGCTACTGGTATTTGACCACAGATGCCTTGGAAATATTGCTGGCATCTGCTGGGATCACCGGGTAAGTAATAGTGAGGTTAGACAGACACAGGGTATTAGGGAATGGTGGTAAATCAGTTGATGAGGTTGTGAATCTTCATCGACTGAGATGGTTGGGTTACGTGTTATGTATACTCAACCACCGATTACCACGACGCGTAATGCTACCTGGTATTGGAGACAGATGCAAGAAAGCTAGGGACGGCCAAACCAAAACGTGGCATCAGTTCTTGAAGTCACTAACCTCTAGTCTGAGACATGTTGGTAGATGCAGACTACTTGATTAAGGTCCACGCGACTATCGTAACCAATGGTTGGAGACTCTGTTTGACATGGCTCGGGATCGATCACGATGGCGTAGGTGTATACACTATTTGCCTTCCCTTATACTGTGAGATAAAAATTACTTTATACCTTTCTTTCTACGAAGTATTTCTTTCTTCCTGTATTATACCGATATATGCAATCTTTCTGTTATATATTGCTACCATTGAAGTGACTACTCATACAAATTTGGTGTTTATCTTGCTCTAATGAGGTGTGGCGGATGCATATTATGTGCCTGGTCCTATATTGTAACCGACTGACTGGCTGACTGATTCTCTATCCACATCCGTCCTCAGCAAGTCTTTCCAGTTCTCTTCAGTTGCTAATCATCCTATTTATATCTGCTTCCAATTCTTGACGCAGTGTGTTTTTTTGCCTTCCTCTTTTTCGTTTACCTTCAGGATTGCAAGTTAGTACTTACCTTGTCATGCAGTTTGAGGATCACCTCAATGTGTGTCCTATCCACTTTCAGAGTCTTTCCGTAATTTTCTCTCCAGCTGGTTTGTTCTCTCCCACAGAAGGCTGTTGCTGATGGTATCCGGCGAACGGATATTAAGTATCTTGCGTAGACAATTGTTCATAAAGATTTGTACCTTTTTGATGATGGTTGTAGTAGTTCTCCATGTTTCAGCTCCGTAGAGTAAAACAGTCTTGACATTAGTATCGAAGGTTCTGACTTTAATATTGGCTGGCAGTTGCTTTGAGCCCCATGTATTCTTCAACTTTAGGAATGTGGCCCTTGCTTTGTCAATACTCTCCTTTACGTCTACATTAGATCCTCGACGTTCATCGATGATGCTAATCAGATACGTGGAACTTTCCACCTCTTCCAGAGTTTCTCCACCAAGTGTAATTTGGCTGGCGTGCCCTGTGTTGCATTTAAGGATTTTGCCTTTTCCCTTGGGTATGTTGAGGTCTATTGCTGCAGAGGCTACTACTACACTGGTTGTTTTGGCCTGTATTTGTTCGTGCGTACGGGATAGAAGAGCTAGGTTATTTGCGAAGTTCAAATCGTCTAGTTGCATCCAACCTGTCTATTTTATTCCGTGTTTCTCGTCAGATGTGGAGGTTTTCATAATCTAGTCAACCACCAGAATAAAGAGAAAGGGTTAGAGTAGGCAGCCCTGCCTGACACCAATCATCACTTGGAACGCATCTGTCAGCTGTCCTCTATGCAGGACTTTACAGTGTAGTCCATAGCATGTGTTCCGTATGATGCTGACGATTTTCTCAAGTACTCTGACTTTGCACAATACATTACAATAATTCTGTATGATATATTCAGGTTCCATCAATTAACCGTATTCATAAGTATAGATTGTTAGATGAAAATGCCGACAAGAAAATGGAAAATATTATCAACTTTTCTATTTTTAAAGACTGACATCCTTTTGAAATATGTACTTTTCATAAAGAAAACTGTTTATTCGCTGCTAACAAAAAGGTAGAATAAACAATTTCTTCATTTCTTAATTAATTATAGGAATTTCCTTGATTATAATTTTTTACCCTTTACCAATAAAACGTGGAGCATATCCTTATTCTCGATTAAATCGAGAATAGCTTAAATCACGGACTGATATCAGCTGGATGATTTAAAAATATGAAGTACAGAGCGATCGCCACACAATAATCCAGGTCTCCTTTGCAACTAAGATCATAACCCAAAAGTACAAACGCAAGACATTTAGTCATCTCGATAGCCTGGATTTATGTTAGACTACTGAGCTAGCATTTAGCGACCACTTTTTAGCTTTAGTAAGCTCCTTTAATTTGTGATCTCAATTCATTGAACTGTAGCTTTGTTGATTTTATAGATCAAGAAAAAGATACTAGGTAGGATTTCATGTAAAGTCAATGTTTTGTGCTAATAAGTTCCGAAACGATGAAACAGCTTTGGTTTTCAACGCTAATTCAGTTAATCCGGGTATGTAATTAAATTTATCGTCAGACGATAATAAAATCTAAGTTAATGAAATGAGATACATTTAGTTGACCGAAGTACTACAGTGCTTATAAAGTACAACACTTTATTATATTTCACCTCATTCTATGACTAGTTCATATATATACATTATTAGTGTTGTTACACAACAGTCATGCCAATCGTTCACAAACTAAGTTTAAGCTACAGTATTTAACAACAAGTATTTTGGTGTCTGGACAAGTATTAGTTTAACCTCAGATGACAAGCTGTTTTTAAATATAAGCATAGATTGTCACGAAAACAAAATACAGAGATTTTATACAACGGAAACCTAAAATATAATACCTTTAAATGTTCATTAAAATCAAGTTTAATAATTGATTAACTCTATGTACTGCTAAGATACTAGAACTACATTGATGAATTTAGTTAAATATAATATATAGAATAGATTGAAGCATATTAACGAATTATATAAAATCTAACATACACTTACTTTAATACTTTTATCTACTGATTTTAATTGTTCCACACATTTATTTAAACATTCTAGAATTGTTGTATAAATCTGATTAGCATCCATTTCAATCCATCCAGGTGACGGATAACTTTGTGTTACACTTATTTGATGCATAGCTATTATACTTCCATTGTTGATTGAAAATATAATCACTCTTGAACTACTTGTACCTTGATCAATAGCAACTATAAATTTCTCATTTCCATTATTATCAACCTGCTTTTTATCTATATCAGTGAGAATATATTTATCAGTTGCCATTACGTAAAATCTGCAGATGATTTCACAAATAAATTCGACTTCTGTAAAAAAGTAATTTGACATTTAGACATTATAGTATTTATGAATAATGGAACGAATAAATAGGTAAAAGTGAATAACATTTTACATAGGTAAATGTAATACAACAGATGTACTTTATAATATTATGAGGAACTCGACAAAAATTCTCAGGATTCTATTGGGTGTTTTTCAATGTGAAATAAAAAACAAAATATTTTAGAGCTTTAAAATTGTCTAAAGAAAGAATGTGTTTGACAAATAGGAAAGCAGTAGACAATGAATAATATATATACCTTGTTTTATTTTCATCTTATTTTGGTTTTATGCAAGAAAAACTCGTCTTTTAATTAGTGTTCTTTTCAATAATAATTTATACAGCTTCATAAAATATGTCTATATTTCAGTCTTTTAATGACCTATTGATCAGGAGATAACTGTATTTTTGTTTGAAAATTTAGATATATTGAAGGGCAGTGGTTGCTTGCCTCTGACGGAACTCAAGTTAAAGCGAAGTAACAGTTTTACATTCATTTGTATCCACTATTTTCAGTCCCTTACGAAAAGATACATCATATTTCAAATGTAATTATTACTTACATATTTGAAAACATGAAGCATTTGAAACTGGCAAAATGTTTTGTGTATTTGACTCACTAATTCTTTTCCTTCGTTAAATTAGGCATGTAATATAAATGAATATTCTTCTGCATGAAGTAGTGACAAACATTGTTATTAGCATTACTACTACTGGTGGTCCTAATGACAATAATATTAGTTTATTCCTCTGTACAACTACTTTTAAATAAACATCTCAGTTCAGCTCTCAATTTCAGAAATCATATTTAATCTACTTATTTCGTCAACAGCATTTAGAAATTAATTAAGGTTGTAATTTAGAGTTTACCAGACCCATGGTTATATATGGTTAATAATAGTCCTCTTGCTGACTTTAGTTTTCAGTGATAACTACCTCTAAATTCTATAGAATTCTCCACAAAATTACTTAGTTCACTTTTTTAAAACGAGCTTTACTCATGAAACTTACGATTAAACGTAAGTATCAACCAGATTTAAGACAAACTTTTAAATTTTACTAAAGCGTTTATCTTTATTAATAAGCTAAGCAACAAAGAACCAATGTTTTTTTATAAATATAGAATCAGTCTGACTGATTATTGTAGAAAAAGTTTCAAATGCATAAGCAAACAAATGAGTGATGAGGGGCATAGGAGCTGAAGAGTGGAAATATGTAGAAAACCTAGCGAAATATGAAAGAAATACACTATACAACGAAGTCACTAACAAAAATATTGGCCAACCAAAAATTTATTAAATCTCAAATTCTGCCAATTAACATATTTCAATGAAACATGAACTTCAAATGTTTCTCTTGTTTTACATATCAACTATATCTTGGTAAATTTATATTTAAATTCTACTGAAATGTTAACATAATGTTTATAGAGCAGTATATGGGTAAATAGTTGGAAGTCCAGTTAAAAGAAAGTCTTAGTAGCAAAAAGGAGAATTCGTACATAACAGTTTATATGGTTTAGTTTTGAGATAAACAAGGTCATAAAATTTATTCGAAGCCGGATAACTGCCATTGCATTATTTTATCAAACAACGTTTACTAGACGAACTCCCAAGTTTTACAATATATGTTAGAACAGAAACCCTAACTATTAGACGGCTAAATAATATCAACAAGAAGCTCTCGATTTAGATTTTATGCACTTTGGCACTCACTAGTAAGCCATGTTTGGAGTATCGAGAGGACTGGTGAGGTGCTGTGGACCGAAAGCCGTTATACCTAGTTAAGAAAAATGTTAGTTAAGAATACAAAAGATATAAAACGAAAATATGTAACAGTTTGATCGTGAAGAAATTAAGGAAATATGATTAAAATCACTCTATTAAAAGTCAAACGCAACAGCATTAATTAGCTAAATATTCATCGATTTTAATAAAAACTATCAAAGTAGGATTAAAATTAATTTTAGTAACTATATTTCCATCTATATAAAAATTTGAACACATAAATATCTAACCTACTATAAAATTTTAAGTTTATTTACTGAGAAAGTGTTTTTGAAAATACTATCCATCTATTTGCTAGGTAAATAGTGAGCATATAACATATATGGTTCTTTATCTGAAACGAGAGGAGCAGTTAAAAACTATGATAATAAGTAATCACATAGTTTTATCCTTCAGTTGTAATTAAACCTTTTGAATCCGGGGTAAACAAAGACAATAGTTCGATAAAATTGAATAATGTATCCTAAATGATTTTATTTTTATGATATTTGAATGCTTATAAAAGTAAATGTCGGAATTTAATTTCTCTATGCATAATTAACCAAACACACTGTCAAAGTATTTCTTCTATTTTAATTTTTGAATTCTTATTTGATGCTATAAACCGAATTATGGAAATAAACTTTGCAGTTAAATTTTCTATTGTTTGTACAGCAGGCAGATGGAGTGTCGGATGTACGATGGCAAACTTTTGGTAGTATTCACTCAGTCCTTCCTGTTGGTTTAGAACAGCTCAGAGAACATAACACGCCAGTTTGAAGGCCAAAAACGAGTAAAATACTCGTGACACACGTTTCCCTAACAAATTGAGAGAAATGGTGGTAGAACCTTGAATTGACCCATTCGGGAAAAGAAAGAGCAACTACAGGAGCTTACTAGAAAAGGAATCAGAAAGGTTGTCGCTTTTTTCCTCAATGAACAAACCTGAACTTGTATGTTTCTCACAATGAAGATTGAATAATATTACCATTACGACATTGTGACCGGGAATTGTTGTATTAAATAAAATGAAGGAGCAGTAAGATGTTGCGAAAACTATTGGTGAATTCGAATTTGTGCTAAGCTACAGGCTAGAATATCGGCCACTAATTTACAAACAGTCGTTAAATCTGACCCCGAAGAACAAGTAATTGTGCTTATGAGCACTAAAATAACTTCATTTAAGCTGGATACTGTAACAATAGCACATAGAAAGCCTGGGCTAGTCACTGATATATGGGAAAGCGGATTAATGAAATTTAGACCATTCACAGACCCACATGATTATCTTGCTGAACCATTCCCTTTTCGTGACATATGAATATTTATGTGCTCGATAGTTAGTCATCAGTACATGTGGGTTTCCATTAAGGAAGTTGACTGTAAATGTATTGCCGTTAACTGTGTTAATAGTGTAAGTTTTCATTGCTACATACGTTCGTGTGAATATATTTTTTAATTCCTGCTGATGGTATTATTTTAAACCATTTCATTACCTTTTATTTACTGTCTAGCCGACTAATCAGCAAATCGTACCTATCGACGCACCAAGCGGGAGGCAGGTTCTAATTGCGGCTGAACAGTGGATCGTAGGCAAAGAACGTTTTCTCCATCCTATGGACTTTGTGGATATGCACCTGCAAGACAGTGTTCAACCAGATGACAGTTGGCCAGTCCTGAAGTGCAAGGTCATCCACTACTGTGGTGAGTTACAAACATAAAAACGATCATTTCCTATAGATACTTTTCAGACTGAAAAGGATGTGTTAATTTCGTTCAACAACTTGGCTGGGTACCGTGTTAGCAGTTTTACGGACGAAAACATCTTGTCACTAAACGAAGAGAAACCGAAGAGTAATCTTATTAATATTTCAAAGATGTACATTAAAACGGAAAAAAGGCTTTCTGTGCAATTCCATTGACACGGATGTGGGTGAGATGCAGGCTAGAAACAACCACGCTCAATATCCTAAATCTTGGTTGCTGGACACTTTTGTCTCACCAGTTACCAAGTAGGCGTGTTTTCTTCAAAGATGTTGATAAACTAGTTCGACACAGTTGGTTGCGTTGCCCTCAACCTCCGAGTCTAGGCGTGTAAGCAGTGCGTTAGCGACCGAATAAGTCACGTATCCGATTGAAGTAAATGCTTAAAATCGGATAAACATTATGCAGCTAATGACTTAGTTTGATGGGTGTGAAGATCTACAGAAATTTTATATCGGACTATCAAGTTTGCAGTTTACTTTATCATGTGAAGAGGAACTGCGAGAGTTAGACACATATCTTCAGCAAAAAGATATGAGGGATAAATTTGTAAGTCAACAAATCGCATGGGATTATTTATTCGCATCCCAGATGGCCATGCTGATGCGGTTAACGGATGACAATCTGATTACGTCCACGCGCTATATTTTGTCATGTCATGAAACCTGGAGTTGCCAGTCATTTTACATTACTCGGAACTTCATCAAAAAGAGCACCTTGGAAGTGCGGGTTTTACGGCAACATACGAAGTAAGGATTTTTTTTCTAACCATTAGGTGCATCAACATATCGGTTCTTGTTTTTATTCGTCAAAAAAGACAGCTTTCTAAACTGTATGATATCGCAACGCAAGAATATTTTCACGATGAGATAAAATACAGAAACGTCATCGACGAAAACAAGAACATACATGTGTTAATTTGAATTTATAACTATTCACTGCTGTTCTATAGGTAGTGTTCAGTATTAGCGAACATAACCGTAAGTTATACTTCAAGTCGACAGTTGTTTTTAACAAATTACAGCAGTTTGAATTTGTTGTAAATGTTCATGTTCATTAAATTTCAGAATTCACAAGAAGATTATTTCGGCCGGCAATACTAACATTCAAGTTTAAGAAAGACGTTGTAATTGAAATGTTCTTTTATGTTTAACTTAGTTATTGTTAAAGCGCTTTCTTACCATGTAATGAATTTCTCACTGGCATTTGAAATTTCAGAACAAAGTATACGTTGCGTAAGCCTGTTTAATTTCATATGCACTTATAAATGACAATACATTCTTTACAAATAACCCATTATCCATGATTTATCTTCTGAATCTTTATAAATGACACCAGGACTAGGTACTTACGACGAAAATACATAACGATTATTACTCGAGCATCTGTCCATTATGAATATCCCTATACAGTATGGTAATTTTTGCTTGTCAGTACATGTATTTAACCATGTACCACTCTTCTAACGTAGTCGATTGCGGTCGTCGTGTGGTTTGTTATGAAATTTGAAACGAATATATGAGATATTTGGCGTTGGACTATGAGGTGGACAATCAAATGTGTAGTAAAAATTTACGCCAGTAATTGGGCGAAAATTATCAAACACAGCGACGAAACGAAATTCCGCATCAAGGACAGGAGAAGACATCCTAGCGCATTTCCCCATTATTTTCTAAACGAATAACATGGCACAAAAACCTCGAAATTTCTCCAGATCGAAGAAAATTTGCCAAACGTTTGTGGATTTCCTCAAGAAAGGCCGGACTGCTGAAAACAAAATATATATAATGTCGCTTGACAGTCAAAAAAATAGATAAAAAGTCATGAAAAATACTCTGAGGATGTGAGCTAATGAAAACCAACCTTATCAGAAAGTTAAATTACTCAACAAAACCACCATTCAAAACAACCCGAAAACATATAAAAATGAAGATATTGTTTAAAATTTCGCTTACAATATCCAATAATCTGATAACAAACTAGTGCAAACCGAAAAAATTTTCTACTTGAAAAGGAGACAAGAAAGGAATTAAAATAAGGAGTTAAAATAATTAGGTAGGTAAAATGGAAACAAATAAATTATTCTGCTAGATCTGCGTTTTTGTGTGACTCAAACTCTATTTGAATCCATCGACTAAAGATAGTGGAAACTCGATTTGTCCACCTTTATACGCAAAATTTGAAGCATCAGCAGTAAATAATCGTACCTCCTCCGTTACATTCAGTATATATCACTCAGTCTGAAGTTTTCTATAATTTGCAACAAGCGTGTGGTGGTTTGTGTATGGTCTAGGGACAAGCTATAAACAAACCCGAAAAATTCCGGTCGATTACTGGCTGATTCAAAAATAAATATCCGAAGTATGTAATTCTTGGCAACCAGACAATAATAACAAAAAGCGGGCATATTTTAAATAATTACGAAGCTCTTGAAATTTCCTGCAATTAGTCATTTCCATTGAACAGAAATACAGTGACGTAGAAATTCGTCTGGATTGAAATTGATCGGTCATTTTCTACACATCCAGCGTCTCTGGGTTTTGATGAATGTATACAGATTAGAATTGGAAATCGCTATGAAGATGCCACAGGTATTCTGAGTTTGACAACGCCTCTACAGGTGACACCTTTATGATCAAAGTAAATTAACCCAGTCAACTCAGATGTCAAAAATGAAGGGCTTTGAACATATAAGTGGAAAGCTATCGGTGTGTCGAGAAGCACTTTGTCTAAGGTGGAAAACATTTACCAAGAATATATAGGACAAAGTACCCACTCGTGATCTGGTGCGGATACATGACCAGACGAATGATTAAGCATGACGAAAAGTGTTTGCTTTTCGACTCAACAACACAAACAAAACAGGTAAAATAAAATTTTACACAGTGTCCTACTAGCGGTTGTCGTCTAAGTTGTACAGCTGTCCTATAACTAGTTTCGATTCTGATTAATTTTGATTAAGTCTTTTTTCAACTTAATTAACAGTAAGTTTCATTAGAATAGTACCAATCCGTCTACTTTTTTGCACTGTTATGCTCGCCAGATCTTATGACAGACTCTAGCTAAAATGTTGTTTGAATAAATATCTCTCAATGATTCATCTTTCTCCGCATGTATGTATGTACTCAAATCTTGTTACTAGCTTTTGCTCTGCGCTTATACGATCTGACTATAAATTTGGCTCTGTATTTGCTCGCATATACATATCCACATGTCTGTTTTAAATTTACTTGTTGCGCTTTTTGTTATAACTTGTCAGTTGAATGCTATCGGGTCGTCGCTGAGTGCTATGTCGAAATTGATTTTTGCTTATAATTGTAAAAACGAGGAACCTCTGCGATTCTTACAACGCGAAAGCAAGAACACAAAAACTGGTATAAGTGAAGATTCATTAACCCCAAAACACGACAACGACGACCCTAGTCGAAAAAACACTCATTTATATATTGATTGTACAACCATTTTGATTAATAATTAGGATGAAGTCACATAGATATCAAATCACATATCCATTAGATACAAGAATATCGTATATTACACAGAATAAAATATCATACGGGAAAACAAAAAACATACAACATTGAGTAATCATTACACTGAATCAAAACGGAAGTAATGTTGAATAAGACTTGTAAGGGTAAACCATTCGAAAATGAACTTTTCTTTCCATTGTATCACTTATAGCTTTGTTATCCGTGCTATCCGCCATTTAACTATTGTTGCGGCTTCGAATTACCTTCTGATTTCAAACACCGTTGAAATTTATATTATAACTGTTATCGAGGTGATTGGTTAACGAAACAAAGCGACCTCAAAGTATTCTGGAAAACTTTTCTCCCAGAGCTCGTTGTTTTGGGTCGGTTACTAGGTCGTAGTGAAGTCTCGTAGTGACTGATGACTACCGGTTTGGGAATCGAAAATGAGAGGCCCATGTGTATGGAAGAAAAATCAACATTGATATGTTTTACTTCTGAAAACAAGACACAGATACTACAAATGAGATGCTCTGTCCGGAGGTGCAATCCTGCAATCATCAGCATACACGTGCACGAAGGTGAGACCTCTAGATACGTCATCAATGACTCTCCGGAGAGTTCGTGCAGTACGTCCTAAACCGGAAGGTTTGAGCAAAAATTCGTGATGATGGTGTTTATGTGGATGTCCTTAACAGCCGTAGGAATTTAGTAACAGTCCTTAACAGTGTCGAATTTCGAAAAAAACAGTCGCATCTTTCAAGTCAGTTGTCAATTCGCGAATGTGAGACAATGGATATTGATCATGAGTGACCTATGCATTCAGTCGCCGATAGTTACTTTTTGAACGCTTCCAAAAATACAAGTGGTCATGAATCGAGATGTAGTGTGTAAGATTGCTTGTTGCACATATTATTTTCCGTCGCGTTTTGTAAAGTAAGAGATAATTGTTTAGTATTGTTGGAAATATGGATCAATTGTATGGCTAATACTGACTTAGCATAAACTACAACTAAATAACAATTTTCAACAAACAGATAATTTAGTGCTTCCATCTACTAAGCTCCGTTTACACGTATCGACGGGTAGATTATGATGTTGTAACAGGTCTATACGGATGATCGGCGTAAAAGTCTCTGCTAAAACGTAAATCAGAGTGACACCATCATCACTGACTGAATTATCCATACAAGGAAAGACTCATAGGTTTATTTATACAGAGCTGACAAAACTACCTCAAACCACAATCAGCTCGATCTGAAGCATGTTGATACTTCTACGTACGGTGACAAACAGTTAATTCCCTCGATAGGGAGATAAGCGGGCTTGCGGGGAAATCACAATACAAAAAACTAACGAGAATTTGGGCACTCGAAACATGAATCATTTCAAACGTGGCGGGAAGTATATAGTGGTAGGCAGAGTAATGATGCTCAGTAAATGAGTAATGGAGCTACCAATGTAGACTCCAGCAATTGGAGTTATTTTCAATGCGCTGCTGGAGAAGACGTGGTGAGGTGATTGTGGTATATTACAATGAGTATATCAAGTCACTTACTAGATCATCACCAACACAATCCTTTAGCAGACCTCGAAAATATGTTAATTAGTGAACGAAAACCCCAATACACTCCTTTTCTTTCTCATTAGAAGTTGGCCACATTTAGAGTGCTTTCACAGCCGAAGCAATTACGGCCTTCGTAACGGACAGCGTAAAAAGGGGACTTGACTGGCGCGTACCCAATCGTGAGTGACCATCCTGCCTCTTGAACTAGATGTAGCTAGTGGATGTGTAGCGGTAAATACATCCTCGAAATAAATATATCTGTAAGCCTCTAACTTTGATGCTGACCTCATTAATTTTTCTGGACTCAACCTAGCTAAATGCGACTGATTACATAACCTCACCAAATCATGGGTATGTACGCCGTGCTACTTATTTCTTGCAACTGTTAGCCAGCCTAGATATGCGCTTCTCAGCATATTGACATTCTTCTGAAAAAGCTTCGAACTCATTCACCCCTGCCCTCTGATTTTACTAGGTTGGTATCTTCCGATTATAAAGGTGTTGGGAACAAGAGCGTTGTTAAACCTTGAATATGTGTGGCATCTCTCGATGACTAGTAACTTACTATCTGTTATCATCAACACATATTATTAGCTTGTTTCTATCCCGCCTATGATTATTATTATTTCTTTTTCCTTTTTGTTCCTACGCTTCGATCTTCTCACACCACTTGCTTACCAATTAATTAATATGTTTATTTAGTTCGTGAGACAGTCGCCAACTCTAAGCTTTTGAATTTTCACTTTATTATTTATTTGCTGTGCGACCAATCAACCTTCTATCTGTTCAGGTGACAGCCATCGGTATCCAGAAACTCTACTGTGCAGAGACAAACCCACTCACTTATATTGCAAAATTCACAAACACACAAATAACTAACAAACTGGTTAGGATAATTGAAATTAAGTGGCTGAACTTCCACTCATTGGACATTGCACAGGATTCTGAACAATAATGAATTACAAATAATACAGTGCAATGAAATCAGTCAGTTCATATGAATATTGGGAATATTGATAATTGAAGGTCAACTTAATCCCTCTCCGCTTGATCATAAGTTTCAAGACACATTTGAATCTCGTCGAACCTTAGTTTTGGTTGTTAGCTTAACTTTGTTTTACACTTACGCCATTGTAAATTTTTAGTAATTGCATCCATTTTAACACATTAGGGTATCCATGTGTTTCTGAGTTATGACTGAAGCTTTTTGAAATGTACATCTTGCTTGTCATTTAATATGTAGTGATATTACATCTCTACACTGTAATATCTGATTGCAATAGAATCCGAGTTAAAGATTGAGTTTATGGCCACAATTTAAGGTTTGACATGGGTTATATATATATATATATGTAAGAAACTTCTCTCATCCCAATCAACCAACAAACGGGAACTGTCTACTTTTTGCCTAAATATACGCGCGAATCGTCTACTTTTCGCCTTAACATACTTTTGCATAATCCCAAAGGTCTCCCATGTTAGCCTTTATTCTCACAACACACCACACTGAAACTGCAATCCGCATAAAAATGGCTTATGTTTACATAAATTAATTGGAAAGAAAAAGCGTATTATTACACAGCATTATTGTCATATGGCAGAAGCTTGAGCGTCAATTGTCATGCATTTTCATTGTAATTGCCAATTCATTGTTATTTGAGATCTTCAAAAGAAGAAACAGGTGATTATTAATATGGCATGTGTACTTAATTGCAAGTTCACTGAAAATCAAACAAACTTTCTCAACACTTGAATAAAGTTTTCCATGAAAGTAAGCTCATTTTAAAAAATGTATATTGAGAAATATGTTGAACATAAAAATATTCCGCGGATTACTTCTGTTAGCCACTCCTTATATAAGGAGTTATAACTGTGATGTTTCAAAACTGAAATATAGTTTCGTTAGCTGCGTTAAAAAACATGCCCCTTGTGATTCTCTCCATTTATTATCACGAATCACTCATGTTTGTTCGGAGACTTCTCAGCCTTGATTTAGAAGTAATCCAAGTTTGATTTACGAAGTGGACTACCATGAACATTTAAGTGTTAATCAAACTAAAGTTTGCCAACATTTCGTCTCATATTTGTGAACAGTTAATCAAATGCTTTCCCATCTATCGACTTGACGTTCCGACATCGTGAAAGAAGAACTCGACTAACAGTTAGTGTTAAGAATTGATCTACAACTACAAAGGTAGCTCTTAGTCAACTCTGAGAATAAGTTTAGTCAACGACATTCGAGAGTGAGTTCCATAAAACCCTCCACCATTGCTAAAATCTTTGAATCACATGTTTCTTTACATATCACGAAGGTGTGTTTGTAGCTCCAGTATACATGATGCTCCCTAAACAAAACGCAGCATTTATTTCAGAATCGTCTTCGCGTTGTTATACTTCCTACAAGCACTCACAAGCGGCCCGTTAATCGATGGTTCAATGGTTAAGACGCTGAACGTTTAGTCGCTAAACTCAGAGTTCGAACCCTGCTCCATCTACTCCAGTTTAAGTAACCCGACAATACTATTAGTCCTCACACTCATGCCCAAATACCCAGTAAATGAGCTAATCAGATGTTTTTTAATGACTAACGGGTCAGTTTGTTGTATTAGCATTCTACTTTATGTAACTAATTATTGGTAATTTAAGCAAATACTCAGTCAGTCATACAAAACGTGGGACCTGACATATGTGTAGAAGGGCTCATGTTGACGTGCTCCATTAGCATAGCAATACGAAACTCAGATCAAATCTTAATATGGTAAGAGTAGTAACTGTGTTATTGGTAGTAAAAAATATTAGGTATCGAAGATCCTAATCGAGAAAGTATAAATTAGTGAGATAAAAACTAAAGAAAGGTATTACGAATTTAGAGACTCGGATGCTAAGCGATGACTAAATGAACTTGAAAACAAACTGTCCTGTCTAAGAAAAACTCACGGCTGAATTATATACAGACTCTAGAAGGTACTGAAAATGTTTCGGCGTAAGTAATGGTCGCTGAAAGTTCCGTAAAATTAAAGGCCTTCAGAGTTACCATTACGTTGACTGAATTTTATTCGTATTGTAAAAATTTGTCTGGCAAGTAATCACAATATCTAGACTACATAGAGGGCGCATATATGTCTGGTGCCCCCTTGTACCAATATTTATGTGTTTAAATAAATAAGACTACATACCTAGTGCACTACCGACATGATAATAAAAGTAGGTCATGCATCCTGATGTTGTCACTCCAAATCTTGCGACTGAAAACTAATTCTACCACTTCCTGTCTAATGATTTAATTGGACGCGTGATCACCTCTACAGTACCCGCTCAATAATACAATGCAGCGCTGTTCTTCCATCAGTTTTTGTTGTGTCCTATGAACTAACTCCTATCACGAAATTACTGCTTAAAGTTCACACCAGATTTTAAGTTAAAACATGGTACTATGAAATGTCTTTTGAAATGTAAAATTTATTCTGAATATTAGGATATTTCTCCCACACTGACCTTTGTCATGGCATTTGTAATTTGATTTGGGTTTTATTCCAAACGATAAATCAACGTGGCTACGTTCCACATTTTTAAAGTTAACGTTTTTGTTTTAGACGGCTTTACTTGACTAAGTGCATTCACTATAGAGGAAAGCTTTAGCGATGGATAACTACCAGTCATTGTTACCAATTTTTGCAGCAGTTCTTGCGGTATGGAGTATTTTACTTGGAATGTCTTTTCATCAAATCGATGAAGGTTAATGCTCTAATAAAAATTTATAAATACAGGTCATGTTGGTGTCTATTACCGTGGTGGTGCTCTACTATCTCAGACCAACGGACCCGGTTATCATCTGATGATTCCCATCATAACAACATACAAACCTGTTCAGGTATGAATGACAGTTTTTCGGAATATTTCGTTTGGTAGATTACTTTACAAACTGATGAAGTAAAGGATGTTCCTTGTGGTACAAGGTAATTTAGTCAAAATTAATCATCTTGATTTGTCTTATATAGCTAAAAGCTAAACTGTGTTATCAAAGTGTTACTCGATTTAATCGGTTTAATCATTGAGCACTGATGTCCAAGATTCTCGCTATCCTAATACTATTTCGAATCTCAGCCAACTAGTAACATCTGTGGGCGCTGTTCTGTAAATAGCGTTAACCAACGTATTAACGGTTTAAGAACTGTCTATTTTTAATGCTCAGAATACTTCAGGAACTATCGCATCTCCTCTCAAATGTGCTGCAACTAATTCTTATAATCGTAACAGCCACGTTGACTTGGTGTTCATGCTTGTTTATTGTCGTGGTATAATTAATATTTTATGTTCTTAAATAGTGAGAAACGCTTATAGAGGACTAAGGTACATCTTAGCTGTGTTTTTATTTAGATCTTATCCCTCACTGTCCTTGGTGTCATGGTGTGACCTTGAAAATTTCATGTTTTATGTGACCTGGTATCCTGTAGTACCAGACATTTTTGGTTGTAATTAGTACCAAATTCAGTTACGTTAGGAAAACAGCTTAAGATGGAGTTGAGGTCTGGCGGTCAAACTTCACAAATTTGAGGTCATAGCTACGAACTTTACTCTATGTACGTATATATATGCATTATCATTCGACGTGATATAAAAAATAAGACTCAAATCTGAAAAAAGAAATCTAAATTTTCTTAGTATTCCGTTTTTCTCTTGAAGTCTGACCATGATGGTAAATTCAGTTAAAAAGCTATGAAAGCTAAAACAAAAAATCTAGAATTCAATGTCATACTCTTGGTTGGTTAATGAATTAATTCATTTATTTGAACACAAATATTTATACAAAGGGGCACCGAATACATGTACACCACACAAGTTACTTGATTTGTGTGTGGGCTGTGATACTGCTCGTGTACCCAGACCGAAGCAGGCGGTTTTCTTAGGGGGCCACACCCGGAGCCTTCGACTTAAAGGTCTGATCCACAAAGCAGTGGAGCATCGTAAGGAGATGCATTCCCATGGTAACCGGTGACCAATAATTGGTTCATACGCCATTTGTGCCCTCAAGGTAGTGGGGCCCATGTGCACCATTGGTTTGAAATCAGGGTTTTCCAACTCATCTGGGTGAAATCTCCGTGTCCACCAACCCGGTTAAAGCGCCGGACATTCGCTTTTCGTCCTCTCAATTTCGTAAACAACAGTAGTGCCGCGAGAAGGCAGTGAGTAGGACTTCCCTGACAGTGGCCGTATACGCGTGGCCATGTGAGAGCATTTTGTGAGGGACTGCTGACTCTCCCTATCCTCGGCCGTACCAGGGCATTCAGTTGATTAAAATAAAATAATGTTAATATCTTTCCTTAAGTTACTGACAATCTGTGATCCGGTTTGCAAACTATAGAGTTTTCATTTTAATTAATCGGCGTAACGGTTACCAATGTTTCTAAACATTAGATTTTTAAGTTTGAAATCAATTACGATGGCATGTATTTATTTACCGTGCAGCGTTTTTTCTATTCGATACTGCTTTCCTCCGACCATTATCCTCTCTTTAATATATTGGTGTTCCGTTCCTAGAATGCAACCTGAATGACATAATTATTGTACCATACTCTAAGCTATTTGCTTGGGAGTCTCATCAGCCCTTACGGTCTGGTGTGTGACGAAACCTCAGCACGGATACAGAAGGCTCGACTAGCTTTTGCCAGCTTGCTTCATTTATGGCGTTGGCGAGATATCCGTCTATCAACTAAAGGACATGTTTACTGCGCAGCAGTTCGTTCCGTCCTAATTTATGGCAGTGAAACATGGCCGGTAAGAGTAGAGGATATTCGCAGGTTACTAGTATTCCATCATAGGTGTCTTCGAAACATTGCTTGTGTATCCTGTGACCACCGGGTAATACAGTTGTTAGGAAACGGGTACTAGGTAAGGATGGCAAATCAGTTAATGGAGTAGTGAAACTTTATCAGTTGAGATAGCTGGGACATGTGTTACGTATGTCCAACCACCGACTGCCTCGACGTGCGATGTTTCGTGGTGTAGGAGTAGGTTGGAAGAAATCTAGGGGCGGCCAGACCAAAACATTGCACAAATCCAGGAAGTTACTGACAAGTAGACTGAGCCATGTTTGTAGGTGTAGATCACCTGGTTAGGTTCTACGAGACGACAACAACCGATCGTTAGAGATATGTTGTAAAATCGTTTGCAATGGCGCAGGTGCATCCACTCTCTGTGTTCTTCAAAATTCTAATCTTCTGAATTCTTCATGTCCTTTTTTTCGCTTTCCAAATTTATTTCACTGTATTATACTCGTTGAATAACATCTTCAAATCCTAGTGTTTCCGATTAGTGCCTATACTTTTACTACCTCTACCGCTATGGGATTTGAATCGACAATCTTTTCTGTGTGCTATTGCTGTATGGCAACTCGGACTGATATATGTACGTACGAAGTCCCACGTTGTTACTGACTGGTATATATATATTGGAACGCATTTCATGTTGTAAAATGAGCGGTAGGATACTATATTGCAAATAACGCCTCCCGATCGTTTTGCTTATCAATTATTAATAATTGTAAGTAATGGGAATAATATGTTAAGATTCGGAGTTACTATAAATAGTATTGCCTTTCGGTGAAATATAATTATTACCAATGAAGCAACCGCTTGTCTTCAGATTTTACGGTTTGGAAGACTGAATCATTTCTGTTTTTATGCCACATAAAATATTCCTGATGAAAACTACTTGTGAAAGGTTTTCTGGTGAAAACCACCTAGTCATTTTGTTTTACTATTTCTAAACACTATTGGAAAGTCTTATTTTACAAGGTTTGTAAATAATTTTTTATTGATCTCATAAATGGTACTGTTTACATATTGTTTGCATATATACGTTCATCTGATCATTCCTTAGAAAAATATATTCTGTTCGTTGTACATTTCCAGTTTTATGTTTAAAATTCATTATGTAACCAGAAAACTAGTCTGTTTTGAAATACCAGTACTTGTGTACACTTTGAAGCTGTTGTAAGTTTTCATTCTCGAGTTGATTTAATTAGTTGTTACAAGTCTAGGTTTTTCTTTCTAAAATGATGACCGAATTAAAGCATAATCATGGTTATTATCTAACGACCGATTGAAGTATGTTATTTTTATTATATAATGAGTTATTTTTAATCTAAAGAACACTAGGCGTAATGTTTTTATGTGTAGTAGTTAACTCCAAAGTTCCAGTTAATTAAGATAATATATTCTCACATAAGTAGAAGGTACAATTTTAAATAAATATAATACATAATTTTCAGGTGCTCTGAAGATTCTCTTGTAATTGCCCAGTATTTATTCATACTACATTACATCAGTTTTAATTAACAAACAAGCGATTTCAGATGTCTACCTAACTCCGATGCGATACGTGGGTTGTTAAACATACTGACGATAGTCCATTTATATTTTTACTCATTTTTACTGTACTATTAAATTAATTAGTGTATCTTCATTGTCTGTCTTTGTTTCCTTTTTTCCTTAATATCACCAGTGGTGGTGTTGTCATTTATTTTGATCGTGTTGAAGTAGTCAATTATTTGGCGGCTGAAAGTGGTAAGTTCAATGGTTTTACTTTTCTAGTTAGTCTGTTTTGTTCAATAAATTGAGAATCTAAGTCACATCTTTTGACTCTTTAAACAGATGCACAGCATGCACAAGGGTTTCAAGTATTTTTAGCAGTGTTGAACTCTGATCCAATTTAGTTAGTTTTACTATACTGCCTAAATCGACTAAGAAAATTAACGTTTTAAATCTATTGAAATGTAGTAACAATCCAGTTTAGTTGTTTGCTAACCATCAATCATAATTAAATTGCTGCTAATCGATTTGGTGCTTTTAGACATGAGCTTGGTAAATTCTTGTGAACCTACACTAAGCTATTATCAAATGATATAAGTAAAGTTGGAAAGACATTCCAAATATAATTATGATGCGGTTTTAAGATTCTTCGGAGTTCTGTTCACCGTAGTGATAAGGTGTAACTACAGTATCAATCTATGGCATCTGATTTATGGTTCAACAATAAATAATTTCGTAATAGTACATTTTTGATGACTTAGAAAGTCGTCTCAGGAAATTTTGACTCTTGCTAAAGTACATTCAAGCCACATAAAATAACCTAATAGTTCTATAGACTTCAAGAATTTATAGATTCACTAAGTAATAACGGTACGTGGCTTATTAACAACGATCAAATTGATGTTGAGAATATCAAACTGATTCAGAAAGATTTTACAGTTATAAAGGAAAGAAAACGACTAAAGCTTTCCATGTATTACTAAACTCAGCTACGCTCAGTACAAAGGAATGGTTAACTGTCCATCTAACTTGAACCATTTATCCAAATAGCTTTACTTAATTTATTCTGATCTTACACCATTAGCACATATTCTACTTTTTCTTAGTACAAATATCGCATTTTTCACAAATATTATATCTCATGTAAAATCACCTTTACCCAAATAACGTGTTTGGATTTTACTACTGTTTAATTGATTGGTATATTTTAAAAAACATTAAACAGAGTTGGATAGTGGTTAGCAGTGGAATATAGGACATCCATTTCGTTCTGTTTGTGATATCAGCTAGATGTGCTTGCACCTCAGTGTTAGTATTGACACCGGGACTCCAGTTCAGTATCTTTCACTTCAAGTACTCAACGCATCATTCATGTAGCTACTGAATCAATATAGCCAGTAACTTGTGCAATGGATATGAATCTTCCCTTCGATATTAAGAAAAGCAATGGATTGGTCTCTCTTGACATATGTACATTATGTGCGGATTCCAAGTACATCCGACTGACAAGTCACAAATAGGAAGAAAGGAGCTCTCTCTATTCTATTGCTAACTACTATTCAACTTTGCTTAGTATGCTCTAGATAGCTGTACTGTCAAGACAATTTTCATATATACCATGATCAATTGTAGTCCTTACCATTAACGAGAAGATTCAAACAATCTTCACAAATGAGTTATTTTAAAAACTGCTCTCTTATTATGTTAAGAGTGTTGACCAGTTATTATTTTAAGTAATACATATTAAAACAGAACTCATGCAGTAATCGCTAAACTGATATGATTGACTGCCTTAGTCATCATATGAAATTTCGACAAACATTTCTTTAGAATGTTTTCGTAAAGATATTTAGTTAGTGGAAAAACTATCTGATTATGTAATCCATTTTTGTATGTTTCTTCTGTTGTACATTCACTTTCTAGTTCATGATATTGTCAAGAATTATACAGCTGATTATGATAAAACACTAATATACAATAAAATTCATCATGAACTAAACCAATTTTGTAGTATACATACTCTACAAGAAGTGTACATTGAATTATTCGGTAAGTTTTTTATTTCTGTAATTTTCGAGACATTTTTTGTTTGAGTCTTCTTTCGTTAGTAATACAGTCTGTAAGACTTCAAATTATGCAGTTTTTGTATTATTTTCGGTAATAAGTGATAGTTCTGAAATATAAGAAATTCTCCGCTAACTTTTTCTAATTCATATTTCCCCATTGACCTCTTCTGTTATGTCTTTGTCTATTGTCGCCTTTAGTTTGCTATTTTTGTTGTCTCGAGGTTGTTTCTGCCATATAGACAGAGTTGTTGTACTACAAGTTTGACTTTTGTTTGGAATAGTAAAGCACTAATGTGGGATTTTTAGAGACAACAGGTATCAGTTTTACATGTGGTTTCAGAATAGCTCTAATAGATATATTTGTTGACAGCTGGTGAGCGAACTAACAAGCATAACCAAAATAGAGCCTAGCACATATGCTCTTTGGTCCAAGTTGGCATACCTGATTAGTGAAACAAGATTGAAATAGCGAGAGAGATCGGAATAATGTAGAACCAATGTTAAAAAGAATGGTTAAACCTTGAGAGCACATTTTTAAGAGACAGAGTAAAAAGATACGTATAAAGTTACTGGGATTCAATATCGAAAGGAAGGTAGAGAGTGAATGCATCTGTGCCATCGCAAACGATTTTGAGCCATGTTGCTCGAAGTCTTCAACCACTGATTGCAGTCATCATACGGACTCGAACCACATGCCAACATGCCTCAGATAAACAGTCAGTCACGTTTTGGTTTGACCGCCCCTAGCTTTCTTCCAACCTACTTCTTCACTTCCAACCATCATTCCCTGAATCATCACTGGTTTACAATGATAGTTTATCAACTCATCTAACTAGGCCCTTTTTATAACCATTAACGTGATTTAAGCAGCATTTACTTGCCCCAGCTTGTTCACTTTTGTTTAAAAACACAAACTCAATGGTGTATTTTATATTCATAGACTGTTATTTTATAGTTTTTCGTCTGCTTTTCATACTTCTAAAATGTGTGTGACAAAGAAACTACGTGGTTTTGTTTTAATAGATCAAATAGATGAATTTTTAAAGCGAACATTGCAAGCAGATCTAATTTTAATGGCTCCTGGTTTATATATTCAAGCGGTACGAGTTACGAAGCCTAAAATTCCTGAAGCCATTAGACGCAATTATGAAGCTATGGAAGCTGAAAAAACAAAACTGCTAATTGCTGAACAACATCAAAAGTTAATTGAACGAGAAGCTGAAACTGAGCGTCGTCGTGCAATAATTGGTAAGTTTATTATTTTCTTCATATTATTCAACTCCCAAATACACATGCGTTTCGATAATGCAATGAGAAGACAAAGTTTATCATAATTATGTGATATATTTGCACAATACATTCCGAACAATCTGATCACATATATACTTGTTAAGACATTTTAATATGAAAATAAAAGGTCAACTAGACTGGTTAAAGTTAAGCCGTAACAAAGAAAATAATAATAAAGTGCACAAAAACAGTGTGATAACCGCTCTGGATAATAAGTCAGTATCAGCAGGGTAGGTTAAGGGCAACGACAAATTGTTTTTGAACGCATAAAAAGGGTTTCAGTCTCGAAATTTATAAACGGGACTAATTGTTTTAAGTTTCTGAAAAGAAGACTCCCTACGGATGGGTTTATCAATTTAAAAAAGCTGATTTGTCTCTTATTTAGTGGTTTCATATCATTTTCTACTTGAATTTATTTCATTTGTATCATACAGGTCTCCCCAGTTTAGAACTCAGATCTACTGAGACAATGGTTTGGATTCGTTTTATTTTTATACATTCACTGTTATTCAGTGTAAATCATGTTGTCACCACTATTTTATAACAAGTGATAAACTACTCATGTTTTCAAATTGCTGTGACTCAAAGTCTGTAGACTATTAGATTTAATTTGTAGTTAGTTAATATTATGACATCATATGACACACTTTCGGAGTTAGATATTTATGGTCAACCTGTAGAATCCATACAGATATTCTTATTTAACGACCGAGCTGCACAAAAATATTCTAAAGCTAAATGTCGAAATTTTCTGGGATTGTGTTAGTGTAATAGCTGATCAAATAAACATTGACAATTTTCAAACTTTAAATTCCAGTGTTCACGTATCACTTGCCCAATGAAAAGCATAATCCTTTCTACAAATAAAAAAAATCAAGCAGTACATGACTATTTAGATCAATAGTATCTATAATTAAAGATATAGATTTATCTTCTACATTTCCGAAAACAGATTAACCATTTAATTTTAACAAATTTTTATAAAGTAACCCACAGAATTAAACCAAACTAAGAGAAACACATACGAATAGAAAAGTAAACTGAAATGTATCAGTATGATTATAACAAAATAAAATAAATGATTTACTGTAACAGAATAATACAACTTGTAACGATAAAATTGGGAAAATAGTTAAATATAACTGTAAGTACTCTTTATTAATAAGTCAGATTGTGAGTAAAATATGACATGAACTCTATTTTGGATCCGGTTAATATCAGCCAGTGAAATATTTCATTCAAAAATGTCTTCCTTGAACTTTAAAAACTTAAATGAATCATCGGTCTGCTTTAGTCTTTTTGATAAATTGAATCGTTATTCCACATTATCAAAGTTTTTACAGCAAATAAATTGTTTCTAACCAGTTCATTTTCAAAACATTACAATCATATTTTCATATATCGCCGTATTAATTTATGAACAAATTCTATGTTGATACCCAGAATGTTAAAATGGGTATTTCTGACGAAAAATAAATAAAACACAAGATTTACTAAACATAGAAAATACATGCAATTCTTCGGGTAAGTAAATTAAATGTGCGACGCGTTCAATGCAAGTCCTCACTGGGGAGGTCCCGGTCGCTGCTGAAAGTAGTCCTTTACCGGGGAAAAATAACTCCCCAGTATCCTGTAATTTTCAGTGGTTTTTTTAGCTGAAGTCGGTTTGTGATAATAACTACAAGTTGACGGTTCTCCTCAAACCCTTTATTCTAATAATAATAAAATATAAGCAGTACATAAGTTTTTTTAAATGTATGAACAAAAGCAATCAAAATAGGGGCATGGTAAAGACAAAATTTTAACAAACTACATTTGTACACATTTATTTACTTCTAGAAATTTCTATTTTCAACACAAAGCTAACAAACAAAGTATATATCTTGACTGGGAAGTAAATACGTCCAAACTTGTAAAATTATCTCGTGTTTTCCTTGATCTTTTCGTGAATCCGTTTTAGAAATCTTTTTTCACTTCATCATATTTCGTAGGTGTTGTAATAACCTTAATATGACAGGGATTAGTGATTTTTAGGTCTTTCAAGTCATCTCAAACATAATTGTGACCAATTATTAAACAATATTGTATATGATGTTGAGTATATATGTCAATCGACCGCTGTAAGTTATTATCATTTTAATTGAGATCATGAACCGACCAATATTAGACCACCATTGAAAACACGTGAGTACTAGACGGCCATTTTGTCCCAGTATGAGTACTCCTCAGCAATGTGCATCCACGACTTCTCGCGCGCAAACGCTTAACCTCTAGACAACTGAGCCAGCATCCAACAGTCTTGATGTCTAACTTCAACCAATACGCGGTATTGCGCGACCATCCATTGTTTACGGTGAGTAACTGCCTCACACCTGACACGGTTGAACTTCACTGGTCGTGGCTTTATGATCTCATTTGAAAATCAACAATCACCACAATCCTATCTGTTCAATTATTGATATGGCTCCTTTTATGCTTAGATAATAATCAGTTTTTATAATTTGTGTTTATTTCATAACATAACTTAATTCTTGAATAACAAATAAACTTTACCAGTCTTGTATAGTTAATAGTGTCAAATCAGTTACTTCTGGACATATGTGACTTCAAATTAATTTTATAGTTAGTGTTTGTACAGTTTAAAATAACAGTACCAATATAATAAAAAACTTTGATAGTTAGTTATTGCTTGACAATGACTAACATTTCTGATTGATTGTACTTTAGCATTTTTATAATTCCTAATTTTCAGTTTCTTTTAGACTGTCATAATCATTTTTCACTTTATTCCAAAGTTTTTGAACACTCTCGATTCATAACATACTTTAGGAAATGAATTAATACTTAATAGATAAGTCTATTAAATTTGGTGTTGACAATCTTGAATGTTTCACATACTCTACAATATTACATTCATTATTAGATTTTTATATACTTAAGTTACTTGTAGCTGATGCAAGTTGTTGTTATATTCTTTATTTACCTAAAATGAGGTTTTACTTTTATAATAAATTAGAGGCTGAAAAGCTAGCTGAGGTTTCTGCAATAGAATGGCGAGCTAAATTAGTTGCTCAAGAGCATGAACGAAAAATCAGTGAAGTTGCAGATGCCACACAACTTGCCCGATCTAAAGCGCTTACAGACGCAGAATATTATCGTGCCATGAAAGAGGCTGAAGCGAGCCATTTAAAGTTAACCCCAGCGTATTTGGAATTAGCGAAATACCAAGCTTTGGCACAAAACTCTAAAGTTTACTTTACCGGTGATCAAGGAAACCTTATTATGGATCTTTTGAACCAAATGTCTTCAAGTTTGTCTAGATCAAATGTGTCAACCAAAGACCAGGTCACATCTTCATTTGTGTAGCATTTCATTTTTCAGTAATTATACTACCTAAAATTTTTATATTTCATTCGAAGTTGTCTATTTATGTACATTTTTGTAATATTGTACAATAAACCAGAAACTTTTTACTTGTCAGTTCTTTGTTTTTTATACACACCAATTACAGATGTGATGCTTCATTTTCTAAGCCACTGATCTGTCATAACTTATGCCCTTGCACATGATGTGTTCATTTTTTTGGTGGTATTGAAACGTATTAGTATGTTTGCGATATTAGTAAGCGAAACTTTTTTATTTATTAGCTTAACTAGATTCTACAGGCATGCAGATCTGCTAGATAGAAGCAGCATTTCGTGTTACAAAGAAAGCTCAGTAAAATATTTGTAGCGCTATGGCTGATCAAAGTGGAGCGTCCTTTTAAGGTGACATTCACTGTGATTACCTTGTTGATTAAGACTAGTTTTGGAACATGCGACTTAAGGTTTACCTTGGATATCTGTATATTATATTGGGATATGTAAGTGCATGGTTTAGCACACAACCACGAAATTTCTACTTTAGGTAGCTTAGCCACAGGTCGAGGAATATTCATGTCTCTTCTAATGACATAACTGTTGTCAAAGTGTTTCCTAATTTCTGCTCAATGGTTTCTTTCTCGAGATGTGCCTGTATAGTCGCCAAAGGTGTTAAAGCAGGTTTAGAGAGTTATGTGTAGTGGAGTTTTCTAGCCGATTAATCACTAGACCCAGAGAAACAGTGGCTTTAATCCTCTTAGAGACCCTGGATTCTGTGTACACAGTCCTGTCGTTTTACGTGTTTACATCAGTTTGTCACAAGAATAATCCCTTAATGATTACTCACCTAAAGCTGGGTTCTTTCTCGTGCTGGCTCGTTACTTTAGTCCATTTTGCATATCAGTGCTTTATTGTAAACACTTAAAGATCTTTTCGAGTTTCCTCAGTATTATTGACAGATTACATTGGCACATAAATGATGTGAGGGAACCATTTGGAATTTCTTTAAAAGTGCGACTATACGCAAGCTCCAATAATGTTAACATAATGCTCGCCATATTTAAATATGTTCTGTAGTGTATGAGAGGATATTTAGTTGACTTCAGCGAAAAAAAATGAAGGAAGGAAAGGTGGGGTACGTAAATAACTTGCGAAACAATTAGAGTAAGAAGTAATATATGTATTACGAAAAGAAGTGAAAGGATAAGATTTGGTGGCAGGATAGAGGTTTATGCAGGAAGCGCTATGAAGGTATAAGTTGTTGCAATGAGTAGTCTCCATGTGTCAGTTTGTGTGTGGTGTAGATAAAATGAACCTGTAAAAGTGGGGAAACTACCGTTCAGTTTGATGTCGAGTGGGTAGTGTTGTAGCAGTGTTGGCATTAGATAAGGTCCAAGTAAGTGCTGGCTAATTCTTGGGCTGACGATATACGGACAGTGACAACACCATATGAATTAGGTTCAAAAAACTCAAGCCGGAACAACCGGGAGATCGGATTCCAACGTTATTCAAATAGGACAGGGGTATTATTCCTCCTAGAGTTAAATTTACTGTTTTGATCGTAAACTACACATCAGAACTACTGTTCAGACTTTAATTGACTTCATTTCAGTTAAATTGATGTTGTACTTGTGTGTATTGACTTTGCTTTTGTGTATCCATTGCATCAAAGCATACTTAGTCGAATTTAACTAGACTTATGAGGTTAACGTTTGAGATTTTGTTTTTAAATACTCATTTTTGTGTTACCACTTTTAGTTAATTTCTAAGATGGTCAGCTCTGCTTACAAATATGGACAGCCATATTCCTTATTCCCTGTGGAATAAGGAATGGAATGTAATGAGTGTAAGAAGTGGTTCCATAAGATGTGTACACGCTTAAATCCAACTTTCTATAAAACGCGCCCAAAACTTAACTCTCATTGGCTCTGTATGTTTTGTTGTCCGAGCAAAACATTACTCATCCAAGAGAAATTTAGCCTTCTAGCGTTGGCTAACAAAAAGTTTGACTAGGACTGTACTAGTAACATGGGTAGTGATTAGGAGGAATGCGTCAGTGTCGTAAGTGCTGTTACGGCACGTGCCAGCCACACGGCTGTGCAACACGTAATATGGCTTTCTGTCCGAAAACAATCACCGAGCGATACACCATTAGGTACTGGTGACCAAGTTGCAGAAGCAGCGACTGATGACCCAGAAAACCATTATCATCCGACTAGTTGTAATGTGGATGCTGCGACCGATGGGATATGGATGATGCGGAAACATAGAAGAGAAAGAAAGCTAGCCACGAATAGCTCCCATTTATTTGAAAGTTCCTTGGTGAACTTTTTGTGCCTGTTGGCAACCCTTGTTTTATTGATAGAAGAAACGCGACTAGTGGTGAATAAGTCTTTATTTAGATCGTCTCGCAGTCACACTGGGACATGGGATTACCTGCACAAACACACAAAGCTTTTCAACATCCGATATAATGCCTATACAAAAAAAGAAGTGAATGGATAATTGAGCTCTACTGTTTTGACATATACTTAGTTGTTTGAGGTAAACTCTAAACTAATCAATCTAAGCTGTTATATAAGTTTACCATAGAATCGACTACAGTAGGATCGTCGGTTTGATTAATCTATCAACCAAGTAAACATACCTTCTGTTTCCGCAGCCCAAGGGAGTATTACCAAGTTGCTCAGCATTTGACTTCCAGTGGATGGCGACTAAACGAGTCAGCAATCGATGATAATCCATGAATGTCTCTTCGTTTACTAGCTTGTTACCTCATTTTGTAGCATTTAATTTCCTCCACAACAATCGCTGATGGTTTGCTATGTGCCCTCTGCATGGTGATCAGAGCTTTTTAGAGTGATGGGGGTAGGAAAATGTAGTAGGAATGTCCGAGGAAGTGCTGCGTTTCGTCCTACTTGGGACTAGTCAGCTGGATATACCTGCATCCCAGAGTTGATGTTTGTTCTAGGACTCGAACACAGTACCGTTCGCTTCAAACTCTATCGCGTAATCCACTTAGCTACTTAGTCGTGATGGTCACCTGCTTGTGCAATTGGGTGAAGTTTAAATTCGCTTAGCGCTGTCTTACTTGTATCTTTCCATTGTTATTCAGCACTGCGATTGATCAGCCTCACGATGACATATATGTATCCTGTGCGGATTGCATGGGTACAACGTTAGATCACAAGCTTTTGAAGCAAAGATGGACAGTGGCCAGCAGTGGGATCCAGGACGCGCACTTCCTTCACATTATGCATTGCAAACTCCTCCTCCAAAGTCTCAAAGTAAGACCCCAAATGGGAAACGTTCCACCTCATCAAACAGTCTTGAGTCATTCGCTCAACTCCCACGACTCTATTACAAAAAAATTTAACACTGTGGTGCCAAGATCTAATATGCAGAATCTGACATCACGGTCGAAAGCCATGAACACGACTTTTATAGAAGTTAAACAGGTTCTCAGCCCAATTATTTGGAATTTAGAGCAGTCGAAAGCTAATGACCCTGCTAAGAGGCATGCACACGACATAAAGTTAGTGGGATCAGGCATGTACTGTTTGAAGAGATTTCAGGAGTACATATCACCAAAGTAAGACTGGATAATTAGATTTAAGGCGAGAACCAACCAAGAAGGTTCTTGAAGTTTGTACTCGGGAATTTTGATGAAAGAGACGTACTACTGACTAACACATTCTGAACTCGTGATTCGACCAGATTGACTGCTTGAGGGTCGAACCGAGTGGAACTAAAATGTCGGAAGCTGAATGACGTAATGAACCTTACGATTAAGGGTTCTCGGGTAGCCAGATCTTGTAAGACTATGCTACCGAGACCTGTTTGTGTAGAGCGAATGATTCTCAAAATCCTTTAAATGTGTCCTACCCGGACGCACTTAGTCTTCGAAATAAAACGTCCGGGCTAAACATGATGGTGGATGAATCAAGTCTCGATATAATTGTTGTCACAGAAACTTGGCTCACCTTTGATGTAGACCGTTACCCCATTACTGCAGGCTACATCTGCATTAAAAGTGATAGAGTTATAAGCCGCAAGGTTGAAGGCATAATGTTGTATGTTAGAGATCACTTTCTCACACAATCAATCATATCGGAGACGCATTTTAGTCGTACATTTGAGGTAGCAGGTTGTACAATTAAGTCTAGAAACAAGTTAGTGTCTGTAGGCGGAATATGCCGTAGTTCGTGTTGTCTTGCTGACGGTTTTAACTTAGGACATATCTGTTCGTGGAGTAATGCAGAATGTTGTTTCATCATTAGAGACTTCAGCGCACCGCATATCAACTGGATAGAGCTTAAAGCTCCAGGTGGGGGTTCCGATAGCGACTTTCTATGAACCATCATTCAGTGTGCACTTGTACAAAGTACCGCAGAACCGACACATATTGACTTGGAACGTGACCCGTCATTGCTGGACTTTGTTCCCATACACCACTGTGAAGATGTCGTCGATAGTCAGCACCTTCTCTCACTGGTGAATAATGATCACGTTGTACTTTAGTTTAAGTTTTGAACACATGGCATACAATATTTACCTGCCCAAACCAATCCAAATATCTGTCGAACTAATGTTGCGCCAGTCAGAGACTGATATCTCGATTGACTAGCCAGTGAACTAGTTGATTGGAGACGAATGGAATAGGTCTGAGGCTACATTCGAGTCCCTAATATCGCTGACTATCACAACTGTCCTTCCATTGATCATCAACCGCAAACTTTGTGAGACATTGGGCCCTAGTGAGTTACATCCCCGACTGCTGTCATAGCTTGCGGACGTTATTTCAAGGCCGCTCGCAACGCTCATCAACATGTTCCTTTCACTCGCTGAACTCCCTAGAAACTGGAAAGATGTTATAATCAGTCATATAATTGCGGATGGTCAGTCTAATCACTACAGTCATTAAGCCGCTCGAAAAGAAAATTCAGGTTAAGTCACCAAGTCACATAGATTCTTACAATCTGTTGATTCCGAGCATCGGAATAACAGGTGCTGTACAGAACCGTATGTGAAACATCTTATGTTTCCGAATACAGTAAGTTTATAGGATGCTACCCGAATGGAAGCCGGCCAAATTCGGTGTACCTCAATGCACCAATTAGG